GTGGCGGGAAAACTGGAGGGGGAAGAACCATCTTACAAAGAACAGGGCGGGAATAATACATAAAATGGGGGAGCATAAACAAGAAACTTAAAAACACACTACAACATCGATCCATCTTTGTTTCAGACCCACAGAAGCCTGATAGGAAAACACTATTAAGCCTCATGTTATAGAACAGTAGATGTATTTATCTCTTAGTGATAAAGCTAAATATGGCCTTTGTACATGTGATTTCATAATTACTTCACTTAATATCAGTCTGATTTTAGTACAGACTATTGGGAAACCATTTTTATAACTGTTACTAAATTAGAATACTGTAAAAGCAGTAATTGCTGATAGAAGTACCAGGATCTTACAGGTTTGAGGGCATATTTGTTTCAGGATTTGGCTATCAATTCAGTACTCAGGCTACATACACTCGGTGATTGAACAAGTACACTGAGAAAAAGATTTCTTACACTTTGTACTCCCTCTTCATTAATGCAACCAAGTATTTGCAATGGGTGACTACCATGCATACACATACCACATGGTAACTTGATTCTTAGGGAAAAATTGATTATCACTATGAGGCTGAAAACCCAGCAATTAAAATGTCTGATGCCATCATTTGGCAGGTACCCAAAAGCTGCCCAGGCAAAAGCTGTATAACTGAAAACACTACACCCCCCAGGAATCCATTGGAAACACAGCTTTGTTTCTGGAATTAAAATTTGACCAGAGCAATCTGGCAATGCTGCACCATTTAAATTAAGAAGTGATATGGTTTGGGGTATGGCAGATCCTACTAATTAATTAGTCAACACTTAACATGTAAGTTGATGTAGGGAATATTCTACTTATTATATAACAAACAGAATGTGCCTTATGAACACGTGATCATTTCCCTTATGAAACTTGAAGATTAGAGGCAAGCGATAATTTGTTTTCTAGCTCTGGTGCTTATATTCCTTGCTACATTATACTCTTATACACAAACTCAGAGGGGATAATATCACATGAGAATGCCCTACTATTCCTCTGAGAATACTTAAATGTCAGGTCTCTGTTACATCTGACTTTATACTACAGTAGCCACTTCATCTTCTTACATGCTCCCAGTCCTTGTGATTACATTGTGCCTTTGCCTGAGGACAGTAGCTCCAAATCAATAAGCTACACATGGCTGTAAGACTGAAAACAGGAAAAAAGGACATCTCCTGCCAACTCAGTTTATCAGCAAACTCATATGTGCATGCCAGGTTTGACCCATGGCACAAAGTTCTCCTTCCATTTATGCTGAGCCTGCCAAGAAAGGTCAGGAAGCATTAAAAGAAGAATTACCTCATCAAAATTATATCTGTGTAAATGACATCTGTCCAATTTAAATTTGTTTTCTAAATTGAACAGAAAGTCACCATTCTTCTTGGTAAGTCACTCACCTTATTCTAACTTACAAGTAAATTCCCACCTTACTTGCTCTCTCAATTCTGCAGAGGGAGAGGATTAGTTTAAAATAGATTGGTTCTCTGTGAGTGAGTGGAATTAGGTGGGATGAACCCCTTCATTCCTGACTGTTATTAGATTGATTCATAGAGGAAATAGAGCAGCCAAAAACCATAGTAATGACAGTGTCAGTCATTACTGACCGTAGAAAACACCACAGCTTCTTATGAAAATAATTAAACCAGTTAACCTAAGGCTACCCTTGTAGAAAAAACATATTTGAAATTCTTCCAGAGGCATTTTACTTTTAATATTCATACACATTATCCCACATGCACAGCAGTGTCTTATCTCCTCTGCCTCTCAAAGGAAACATTTTTCTCTTCTCTGAGTCTTCTCTCTGATCTAAGTGCTCCCCTGCCACTGATGGCCCTTGATGCTTCCAGCAGAGCAAGCAGAAAGCCAATAGGAAGCTGTAGCATTTGCAAACCAAAAGCTGAGGTTTGACTGATCAGAAGGCCTTGCAGCCTTCTGGTTTACTTTCAGCACACTAAGTTGATCAGCAGCAGGAAAATAAAGAAAGAACACAATTTACAAAGCTGCTTCTAGCTAATAATAGTTCATGTCTGGAGTTAGTTTGATAGGGTGTTTTGAAATCCCTAATAAGCCTTTTCTATCAGGCCTTTTATACATAGTGGTTTTGGTGTGAATTACTTAGGTATATGTCATGATGCCAAATTCAATTAGCTTGTGGAAAACAAGGAGGAACGTGTTAGAAGGGAGACCACATGCAAGCAAATCACTTCCTAACTTACAGCACCTCAGCCAAAAGCTTCTGACTGAATGAAGGGGATCTCAATTATCAATCTCCTAAGCAATGTCTCCAAAGAAGCATGGAAGCAAAAGCAGATGTCTTGCTTACACCCATATAAATATTTAATATACATAGGGGGATTATCTTAATTAAGATACTCAACCTGCAACAGTATCAGCATGTATTGCTACAGTCCTAAAATAACGCAGTCAAAATCCACACATGGAGATTTTCACAAATGGAATTTTTTAGGAATTACTTAAAATCAGTGTTAGGTCTTCATGGTAAGTGAGGAATGCCCAGGGACTCCCAGCAGCAGGCAGCAGATCTGAAAGAGCCCTCCAAATGCTGCAGGACAGAATTACTATTTCTAAGGGTTGTAATTTTCTGAGGTATATATAAACAGAAGTATGGTTGTTTTGATAGCATTTCAGTTCCTGCTGCTCTTTTAGAGAAAGAAGACGATTTAGTTGAAAATCCCTGAAATTCTCCGGAGACAACTTTGTTGTGGAGACTTGAATTAATTTTTTGATTTTGAGAATAAAATAATAAATTAAATTTCCCTGCTTAAGAATTGTACCCATTCTAACTGAGAAGCTGAGTCAACATCCCAGGAGCTCTGGCAGAACCCCAGGTTCTTTCTGCATCTACACTGCTTATAGTAACAGCAGCAATTTGGGTAAGTTTTGAGGAGCTGCACTCATGGTCATAAAGGGACCTTACCCTGTAGCCCTCAAACTTAACATATTTACATTGCAGAATTAGACAGGCTGAAGGAAATATGTTTTTGTTGGATGAAGTCTCACTTGTTTGTGAACAAACATTATATTAACAGATGAAGAAGAAGAGTATCTGTGGTCCTCAATGACTGCAGGAAAGATATATTTCATAAGACTGTAAAGAATCATTAATGAGCAACAATGCAAAAAGCTACAAAATATTCTAGCTAGAGAATACATTTAAAAGTTTTTAAGTTGTTTCTTAAAGTGTAAAATACATATGAAATTAAGACAAAGAAACTGAAGAACAGGAATATTTTAACAAGTGAAACAAACAATAAAGTTTGTTCACAGTAAGATTGAAAATTCCTGGCTTTTTGAATGAGGTATGAGAAAAAAATAATGCATCAATGAGAATTTTTCATTTATGGAGTAAAAGAATCCCTACCACAACCAGAATTGGGGGGTTGGTTTGTCCGGATTTTTGTTGCTGTCATTGTTTTAGTTGGGTTTTGTTGGGGTATTTCTGGAAAAACATAACCAAGTAACTACCCATCTGTCTACTTGGTACCATTTTTCTCTCTCTTCCCCTGAGAGAATAAACCTGAGGGCTTTAAAATACTGAAGTGTTTTTATTATTTAAAAAGAACACTGAAAAAGTGAATGAATCAACATACAGACTTAAATAAAAAAGAAGTATAGTCTATACATATTGGTAGATAGTAATGACATTGGTTGGATAGAAATTATACATACATTGAAAATATAGTAACAGCACACATCAGAATAATACTTAGAACTCAAATTTTGTATGTACATAACATTATGTGACTACATACTGCAGACATTTCCTAAGTTTTAAATTTGTTTATACAGTTTATATATGGTTATTTTATTTTGTCTAAAATCTTTCCTGTGACAGCCTGCCCTGCTCTGGGCCTGCAGGGTTTGGTGGTGGCTTCCACCACTGATGAGGGACTGGATTCGGAGCCCAGATTTCCTGCCCAACTCAGATAGCTGCTTGTGGAGGAGCAGAATTTCCCTTTGGTAAATCTTAGCAAGGTTTGATTTCAGCAGTCAATTCATACATCCCTCAAACCCAGGTAAATCTGTGGGGGTTGGCCTCTTCTCCCAGGCAAATAGCCATTGGATGAGAGGACACAGTGTTAAGATACACCACAGGAGATTTAGGTTGAACATTGGTAAGAATTTCTTCAGAGAAAAGGGGATTATGGGCTGCCCGGGAGGTGGTGGAGTCGCCATCCCTGGAGGTGTTTAGGAACCCTGGAGGTGTTCCTCACCATCCCTGGAGGTGTTTAGGAACCCTGGAGGTGTTCCTCACCATCCCTGGAGGTGTTCCTCATCATCCCTGGAGGTGTTTAGGAACCCTAGAGGTGTTCCTCACCATCCCTGGAGGTGTTCCTCACCATCCCTGGAGGTGTTTAGGTGTTTAGGAAAGACTGCGTGTCTTGGACTGGACATGGTCCAGTTGGCAGGGTGGTGTTCGGTCACAGGTTGGACTCGATGGTCCCAGAGGTCTTTTCCAACCTAACTGATTCTGGGATTCTGTGATTCTGTGTGTCAGCTTGCTTGTACAGTTACCCACCCGCGTTCAGAGGGAGTGAGCGTCTCCCAGCCTGGAATGGCCATTTCATTGTCAACAGAACCCCAGAAGAGTGTCAAGTGTTTAAAAATCGCATTATTTGTAATGAAGCCATCACTGTCCAGCGCCCGATCAGGCACAGACCCTCGCCCAGCTCCTCGCTCACGGAGCACAGTCGCCAGGGGGTCTCCGCCTCGCCGCCGCCCCCTCAGCTGCGGGGCTCGGGCCGAGCGCGGTGCGATCCCGTGGAATCCACCGGGAGCCGCCGCATCCTCACGGCGCCGCGGGGCGGGGAGGTGAACGCTGGGGCCGCCCGCTGGCGGCCGAGGGGAAGCGGCGGCGCCACGAGAGGGGCGCCGGCTCCGCCCCGTGGGCTGTCGGGCGTGGGGCTGTTCTCGGCCGCGGCGGCGGGGACGGCGGCGGCAGCAGCAGCGGCGGGGTCCGCGTTGGCCGCCGGCGGGGACCCAGTGCTGCCCCGCCGCGCCCGCCCGCCCCATCGCACGCTGTTGTCATGGAGGAGCCAAGATGGCGGCGCTGGCCTACACCGGGGGCAAGCGGGAGATCAACTACTACTTCAGCGTGAGGAGCGCCAAGGCGCTGGCGCTGGGCGCCGTCCTGCTCCTCACCGCCTGCCACGCCGCCTCCCGCCGCTACCGAGGTGAGGGGGCGGCCGCGGGCGCTCCGCGGGGGGCCGCGGCTACCGGGCAGGGGAGGCGGAGCCCCGGCGGAGCTCGGGAACCGCGGCCGTGCAGGGAGGGCGGAGGGTCCCTCCGCCCGGGGCAGCCGCGGCAGGCCGGGGCGGTCGGGCAGCGTGGCGCGGCGGGTCGCTGGCTGCCGAGGGACGCGACCCTGGGGGATAGCGGGGACCCGGCCCGCGGGGCCCTGCGGGCCCGGCCTGGGGGTCGCCGCAGGCCCCGGCGGTCGGGCGAGGCCCCGCGGAGTGAGGCGCCGAGCGGGGCCGGTGGGGCTGTGGCTATGCGGTGTTTGCACTGAGAGCTCGCCGCCGCTCCGGGGCCCGGCCTGCGGCAGGTGAAGCTGCAGGGGTAGACGGTGACTTCTTCTCTGTCACTTGTTTCCTTACGGCATGATTAATAGCCAATTACCTGGCAATTAGTGGTTAAAGTCTTAGTTGGTACGAGATCTGGTATATATTGTTTCACTCTTTGAACCATCAAACGTAACGAAAGCGGCCGCTGTGGTGGATGGAGCGCAGTACAGAGCTGTTGGCTTCACGTGTTGCCGGTGGCCGCGGCCAAGCTCCGGGCACGGAGCGAGCCGGTGTCACTGCGGCCGTGACCGCCGCGCACGGCGCGCCTCGGCCCGCTCCTCCTCGCTAGGGCTGGTTCGGCCCCGGAGCAGAGAAACTTGGCCTGATCCGTAAATGCAAATGCAGCCGCTGAAGGATATATTTACTTGTTTCTGTGTCACGCTGAAAAATGCGGTATGTTTTTGTGGGTAAATGAAAAAGTTGATGTGTAGGGAGATGACCGCGGCTCTGTTTGTTGTAGCACAGCTGGTGTCGTGTTCTAACACTTGGCTGCCAGCATTCATGGGAGACAAGGCTGAGCAAGGCAGTTCATTGTGGAAATGGAAAAAGGGGTAGGGATCTCTGTGTTTACAATTCCCTAGATTCACCCTCTAGCTGGCATGCCGGTAAGCCTGATAAACTGACTAGTATTAAATTGGAAGCATTTACTGAATTCTAGAGTAGATCGAGCATGAGGTAATTGAACTTGCCTGTTGTGCAGTGTTCCTTAAGGCACAAAAGAGTCACAAAACTACACAAAAGGAGGGTGGCAAAATTTTTAAGAGGGATTGCAAGACTAAGCAAATGGCAGCTGACATATCAAGCAGGTTACAAGGAAAATAAAATATGCATAATTTCAGTATATTCTGTGAGAGTTAACGAAGGGGATGAGTCTTAGATTGCAAAATGGTGATAATCTTCTGGCCCTTATGTAAATTGATATAGTCAGTAAGAACTGATACAAACCTTTGAAGTTTTTTACCTGAGACTTTCAGTTTCTTGAAGCAGTTAAAGGGTAAGGGAAAGGTTTTCCCGTAGGTGTTTAAAAGTTGGGACGACATGGAGTCATAGTGAAAAGAGACTTACCAATTTGGGCTTCTATGAACATAAAATGTTCAAAAGATAAGTTTAGAAAAGGAAGGTGGAAAAATTACAGCAGATGAATTTTTGGGATAGATAAAATCAGAGGTGCTTTAATCGAAGAGATCATTCTGCAAAACTTCAGTGATAACAAACAGTTGAAATTCAACTAATGCCACTTTTGACAAGTAATGAAAAAAGCAGAGGTTTTCACTGATAGTGCACAGCTAAAGCTCACTGGCACCTCACTCATTCCCAACTAGTCACCCACTCTAAGTAGTGGTATGGTAGAACTTGAAAAGTGTGTACAAAAGAGCAACATAAACGGCAAAAGAATGAAACAGCTTCTCTATGACAAATAATAAACTAAAATTCTGTAGCCTGAACAGAAACCAAGTAACTTCTTAATGTTCTCAAATGTCAGGAATTACTGGGGGAACGTAAATTGATTTTTATTGTGCCATAACGCAAAAATATCAGCTGACAAATGAAGTTGGGTAATACATTTTAAATGACCGCAAGAAAGCACTTTCTTTTACACATAAGACATTTTACACCAATATTTTTATATCAAAATATCCCAAAAAGGGTCATTATGATTTCCAGAGGGTGTTGGAGGTAGGGCTGCAAACAGGTTCAAAGTAGCCAGGCCGTGTCATGTAAGTGATTGCTCTGTTTGTTGTGGTTTTATACTTCCCCTTTTGTCTGATTGTCATTACATGGAAAGGTTTTAGCTAATTTTGACCACAGCCATGCAAGTACATATTATAGACAGGAGCAGCCCAGTGTACTTCCAGTCAAACTTGGCTGTATAAAATTTACTTGTATGGAAAAATGCTGAACTGCAGTTGTGGAAGGTCAGATTTATGTTTAGGAAGACTGTTGTATTTAGGGGTCACCTACATTTTTTACAAAAGAATTCGAATAAAGTACAGGCTGTCTTTAATTTGGGGAGAGTTAAGTGGGTTCAATGTTTACATACTATCCAGTGACGTTAATGCTTTGTGGTTTTCAGTTGCTATATGTCAAAGGTACAGTCCTAAACCATTTTGGAAATAGGAATTTATTTAAAATTTCGCATTCTTGAAATCAACAGTAGTACACTCTGTTTAAAACTACATTTTTTACTTTGAATAATACAGAACAATTGAATTTCCAGCTCTTTAAGAGTATGTATTTTAGAGAAAGCTTTGTGAAACAGTGTGCTCTGGTGCTGAATGAAGACTTTGAGATTTCACAATTTCAATTGAATGGCCATGATTTTGAGGAATGATAAATTAGAATAATGAACATTAAAAAAAATCAGAAAAATTATGCACTTTGTATAACTATCATGTTGTGTATCTAAGTGAGCATAAAACTTAATTTGTTGGAAGGATAATTTACACAAAGAAAGAGTTTAAAAAAAATGGTCTGTGTTTTGTGTATACATTGGCACTTGAAATTCTTTTTCTTTTGGGTTTTTTTTTGGTTGGGTTTTTTGTTGTTGGTTTGTCGTTTTTTTTTGGGTTTTTTTTAAGATCTCACTGATGGTTAAGAAGTTGTGGTGTATTAAAATGAGCATAGTTCTTTGGCTGCTATTTCACTTGCTAAATCCAGAGTTGATCTTTTCTGGAGGCACTGTCTGGTTTGTAACCTCCTCTTTCTTTCTTTCTTGGCTGCTCTTCCAGTTTTGTTTTATTCCCCTGCCTCATCTTCTCCCCTTATTTTCTACAATTATGTTTAAAGGAAGATCTCAAACTTCAGAAACAGTCTGAATGAGTTTCAGGAGCTTTCTAGTATTGCTCAGGGCAACAGTAAGATAATCAGTACCTGGAGTTGGGAAAGAAGCCTAACGCCTTGACATGCAATATTGTCTCTCTGTTTGAAATGTACACAGTATTTGGGATGTTACTTCAGTGAAGGTGCTGTAGGATGTTTATGGGCAATTATTGTGGTGGGAGTGCCATGGAGTACAGGGGTACTGAGCTTGGGCCATGACCTCCATGTAAGGACATCCTCCAGTCTTGAAAACTTGACTGAGAAAGGAGTGATAGTGGTCTACAAATCATGGCAGATAGAAGTCCAGACTGCCTTGCCCCGTTGGAGAACCAGGGAGTGCCCCAAGTAAATCTAGTAGAAACCCTATTTCAGAGATAGGCAGATGATTCTTCAAGCATCAGCTCTGGATAAAGAAAACTCTAGAAGGATTCTGTGGGTGCTAAGAACTTGAAGACTGCGTGTCCATTTCACTAAATCCTTGGAAGGAACATAGTTGGGAGAATGTTAGGCAAGAATATAATGTTTATTTGCCCTCTTCTTATTAATCTCTGGGCATCTGCTTTTTGCCCCTGTTGAAGATGGAACACTAGGCTAGACTGACCACTGGTCTGACCATGAATAACTGTCCTGATTTTCTTACACATCTTTCTCAGCAAGTTAATGGATGTCAGAGTGAGTCTGATTAGTGGTGGATATTCTTTTACAAAGTTCACTCTTACATCACTTTCATACATCTCCTAGCTGTCATCATCTGTGAAGTAGAGCCTTCCTATCAGTAATAACTCTAAACCACCTCATTATCAAACTCATGTTGCTTTTGATTAGATAGTTTTTTTATTATTTCTGACAGTTTCATTTTTTATGCAACTTACTTGTAATTATAGTTTTCCCTAATACTCAAAATTGCAAACTCATGCAATTGTGTTGCTTGAAAACCAAAGTATGAGTTGAGCTTAATGAAGTGAAGGTTTCAGAGAAAGTGTTAGGTATGGGCAGTGGTACATTGGTCCTGCCCAAGCTAGAACAAGTCCCTACCACTTTATTCACAGCCATTTCCCTGTTTGTCAGTGCTGGGAAATGCCAAGAATGATAAAAATGTTGGAGAGCAACTTCTCTGGCAGTGAATGGGTTCACTTGTGTTCAGTTATAAAACAGCACAATCTGACATGGAGTTGGGAAGATAACAGTCACTGATTTCATAACTGAGATATTTGAAATTTAACATGACCTGAAACATCAGCACTTGTAAAATGATTAATCTTAATTAGCATAAAGCTTATTGACTGGAAGAGATAAGTGCAGTTAGAATCATCAGCAAATTGATGTGTAAATGTTTGGGTTTTTTTTTTTTTTTTGTGTACTAATCCATATCACCTGTTCTAAGGTGATCATATGTCTTGCAAACTTTGTGTTGAGTTTTATGTTCTATACAAGATGCTGTGCATGGTGATTCTATGTAGAAGGTTACTTTATTCAACAGTTGCATTCTTTAATTTCTTATTAGTGTATTTGGGGTAGTAGATAGCAAAGTGGATTGGTGTCTCTTAAAGGAATGCCGTTCTAAGTCACAGCATCTTTCTGACAGCAGAAGTGGGATCACTAACATTTTGTGGCTGGGGTGGGATTTACAGTACAAGTATTGTATAATGAGTGAGAAGGCAACTTGCAGAAGCTTGTGCAAGATGTATTTACAATCAGTTAAATTTGTTTACTGCTGTTGATTATTTCAATTTCTGTTTTTCAGAAGTTGTCAAATTATTTTTTGTAATGGCAACAGGGCTATGTTTTATATTTCATGTGTCTGAATTCTAATCTTAATATAACATTTCAAAGGTGGTGATACATGTGAGTATCTTCTGTCCAGTGGGAGATTTCTTGGAGAAAAAGTATGGCAACCTCACAGTTGTATGATGCACAAGTATAAAAATAGGTAAGGAAACTCATGTCTTCTGTTCATCTGTAAATAAGCATCATTGTTTTTTGACTGCAGCTGCAGTAATTGCTGTAATTGTAGTAATTGTGTAATCTATTGTTCACTTTACATCTGATTCTCTAGGCTCTCAAAAATGTACATTTATGAGAAAGAAGTCTTTTCCACGTACTTTATCCGTGTACATTGTTTACCATAGTTGTATTTCTTTATAAAAATACAAATAAATGTTGGTGATGGAGGTACTGGCACAAGTTATGGAAAGCCACATGAGGCTGCATATGTCACTCTCAGATTGCTGACCTTACATGTCAAATTGAAAATAAAACTATCCCAAATAAAATTACCTATGACTTTTTTCACTTCCTTGTAAGAGAACTTTTTTTTTTTTAGAGTTATGCTGTATGTTACCTGTTGGAAACAACTGTATTTGTAGCACACATCATAGGAAAAACTGCCTAGTTTTTTTCCTAATCACATTAGCAGAGGAGTTCATTTTCAATTCTATGCAAATTGCAATAAATTGTTTATTAATTCAGCATGTTAAAAAAATTTATCATGCCTTAGAGCTGGATATAATGTTTAGAATTATCTATATAACTCTGTAGATTTTGAGAATACTTCTTTCTAAGGTATGTATTTTCTGTAATGTTGCTGTTTTGTTTTACAGTGAAGCAAAAAATTGCCTCATAGACAAACATGTTGTATTTATAGGAGATTCTAGAATTCGACAGCTGTTCTATTCATTCATAAAACTGATAAATCCTCAAGTCAAAGAAGAGGGAATTAAGGTGAGATAGCTTGTTTTGGTTTTTGGTTTTTTGTTTCTTTCTTCCCAATTTACCTCATAACTCGTCTGAACTTCAACAAATCAAATTATACTGTTTGCTGGCCTTGCCATATGAAAGGAGAAGCACAGAAAGATCTTTTGAAGAAGAACAAGATTAGACCAGAATAATTGTTTGGGTACACATGAGATAATTGTGAATCTGAGAAGAGAACTGGAAGCTCAAGAGAAAGCTTGCAGCAGCCTGGGAATAAATTAATGAAGCTGACTTGTCCCATAGCAATTTATGCTTCGTATTTGGTTTCTTGATGGGAAAATGATTGCTCCTTTGTGTGTTTTTAAATAGTAGTAATTCATGCCTTCTAATTTGTCATTTAAAATGTCAGTTAAATTGCTGATCTAATCTGTTCATAAAAATCCTTGGGGCAATGACAGATTTCCAGGTCTAACTTGAAGCTGAAACTGAAAATATCTTCAGGTCTTACCTTCTTTTTGATCACTGATGAAGTGCTGTCTGAATTTTGTAATGTTAAGTATGTAAACTGCAGCCAGGTGGAAGGAGGAAGAAAGGATTTAGGTGTATCATTTGTTGAACAAAATGCTGATTTATTTTGCTCTGTGATACTTTTTGGGCACATGTCTTCATAGATGTATGTACATATGCGATGGAAAAGATGCCTTTCAACAGTACGTCAAATTTGTCAATTATTTAGTAATTCTGTCACTTAGAAGTGCAAGGTGGCAGCTTGTCCAGCATGCAGTCACTTCCACCTGTCAAAAGAAGATGTTTGGTCCAAGAACTCTGGTTTTCTTAGTCAGTTGGTTAGGTCACTCTTGCTGCCCAAAACTAATGGTGAGATGAGAGAGTGCTGTAATGGATCTTGAGAGTGTTTTTTGTCAAGTGTTATTGAAATCAAGATCTCAGTTTGAAGAAGTACACTTGTTCTTATGGATCAGTACCAAAATTAATACTGTATTTTATAATTTTAAAGGAGTATTGTGAATGCATATCTGACTCCTTCCTTTCTGGTTTACAGTTTTCACCCAGAAAATTTAATAATGCATTATAGATTTTACTTCTGCCTCAGACTATTTTCTTTTATTCTTTAATTAAAACTGTGTTGGTTGTTTTGTGTAAAGGAGATGGGCAGAGGAAAAGGAAGGCTGGAATAAGGCAGTGTAAGAAAAAAAAGAGGAAAAGTCATAAGTTTTTCTTATGTTGGGAGGCTAAATTTAGGAAAACATTTGATACCTTTGTAACAGATTGAGCAGAAAGCATTTCAGACTTTGTTGGCTAGATTGCTTCCAGGAAAAATAACTGTTTATTTTAGTAGCTTGTTTTATCAAGAAAGCAACATAAATATTTTGTGTGAATACACTGACAAGTTTATACAAGAAAAATCCTCTCCACTGAAGATATATATTGGGTGAGAGCAAGTTAGCATAGGTATGTAAATATTTTGTTTTCATTCTGAAAGTTTCTCTTACTTTGTTTTTGTTGTTTTGGGGTTTTTTGACAGCATGGAAATATCCCATTTGAAGATAAATCTGCTTCAATTAAAGTGGTAAGTTTTTATCTAGTGTTAAATTGCAAACCATAATCATGTTATTATTTCATATAATATAATTGAAAATGCCATCAGAGCTGAAAAGTTAAAAGAAGGTTAAGACCATCAACATTCTTTATAAATGTTTCACAGTGCCTCTTAACATACTCTGTTAAGAGAATTTGGCATGGAGTATTTGTATTGTGGCTTAGTTTTGGGCATAAGCTCTGTAACTGTGTATAATTTTTGTCAGATCTTCCAATTTGGCTTTTCCAAGCATACCTGTTGCCAAGAAGTTTACTCTTTTCATGCTGTAAAAATATATCTGGGTCTACCTGGATTGGTAATTGTAATTGCCATTGAGTTTTCTGTGCTATCCCAACAAGTATTGCTTCCACTGTTTTTGCATGGGGAAATAAGCACAATGTTGATTACAATGTGGATATTTAAAAAAAGTAAACAAGTACTTGAGGCTAGTTTTTCTGAAGGGCTGTGTTCTCCTCTGCCCTGGCACTGGAGATGCTGTCGTCAATAGCTTTCTTTGCTTCCCATGACAGCTGTCAGCAGTGCTGGCATTGTGCTAGTCATGTATTTATTTGTGCCCTGAAGAAAACTCATTCTCTATTCACCAAAACCAAAGAAGCAGTGTGTTTGCTGAGTTCTATGAATATGGTTTTCAGTACTTGTTTGTGTACGTGGTTAAGATTTAGGGTACAGAATAACATTCTAGGGTGGTAAGCCCGTGGCAATTAAGGCATGTGCTGACCTGCTCTGTTGGCCTTCACAGTATGTTCCTGTGTTTGTGCTGTAGCTAGCACTGGTGAGCTGTGGAGTGGGTTGTTTCAGGAGTCAATTCAGCCAAAAAGTTACTTTGCAGGATTCCTTTTCAGTCAGGTCTGATGTGGTTCATCATGTTGTCATCTGAATGCTGGAAAAGATGGGACAGAACACAAGGCAGGAGGAAGAGGCTGATGCAGCCTGATTTGCATTGGGCTAGCCTGCCAGGGCCACATCTTCAAAACCCCTTAACCACAAAGATTTCAGATGGCAGGTCTGGGCTTTTGGGAGATGTCTCATAGTTAATATATTCCCAGTCTGCTGCTTCCTTGTTTTGATGCAGTGTTGCCCTTCGACATTATTGGCATGATAGCTGAATTTCCATATTCAGACTGGCTGTGACCTAACAATCCAAATGTGGAAAATACTTGACCATCAAAAGAGAAAATTACTGGGAACAAGTGGAGAGTTTAATTTTGCCCTTTCTAGTCATCACAGTAACTCTTCTGTCCTTCAGCCACTGTAGAGGACTGCATGGTTGTTCCCAGGTTCCACAGCCAAATAATGAATTGACAGTACTCAAGTGAGCTACCAAAATGTAACAATCCAGAGGAGTGGTGATAGAGCTTTCCTCTCTGCTGACAGTGTTTCAGCATTCTGTTACAAAGTTTCCTCACAATAGTTTCTGCAGATGTTGTCTCTGCTATTTCCCTTCAATGCGTATTTTTAGACTATTCAATAGTGCTGTCCTGAGGAGTAACTGAATGCTAGGAAGTCTCCCAGGCTTTCCCTGGGACACATAAAAGCACTAGTCTGCACTGTCCTTCTGTATGAAAGCTGAGCACTGCTCCTGGCATCTAAAAGAATTGTTAGGTTTTGATTTTGTTTGAAAATGATGATTTGATGCTCACTTATTTTAAGCTTTGAAACAAAGAAAATCTGCTGGTAAGGATGTGGATTTATCCCTGATTGCAGTAGAAACCCAGGGACATTTCATTTGGCAGACATAAAAAAAAACCTTCTTGGTGAAATTCTGACTCCTGAACTACAAATAAAAATTTGTTTTTTAAGAGGGAAAAGTTTTGTGGATTTGTTAGCTTCTTCTCTTTTTTTTTTCTTTGCTTTCTGTTCTCCATGCTGAAGTAAGATATCGGGATTTTCATGCTAATTATAAGGAAATCACACTTGGAGCCAAATGTTTTCCTTTAGAATTGAATTGTTGGCAATTAGTTTGGGTTTTTTGCATTTTTTGGTTTTAGTCTACTGATTGTCTTTTAAGCTTGCAGAGTAACTCTGCCTTTTTTTACAGGATTTTCTGTGGTATCCAGAAGTTAATGGCTCTATGAGGCAACGTATCAAATCTTGGGCTGAGGTTTGTTTTAAGAGATCTATAATTTGACTTCAGAGTGGTGAAAGGGGGATGTTTACTGGTGTCTATGTTTCTGGGTATCTCCTGGTCTTTCAAGGATTATATCACTTGGGCCTTAAAAACCCCTAAGCAAACTAGAAAAACCCTACTTCATAGGAGCAGGTTAATTAATCCTATTAAGAGTTAAAGGAATTTCAGTCTGGTTTGGTATTTTACTTCTGCTGTGGCTGCAATGGCTCCACTTTAATGTGACCAAATGTTTTGATACTTATGAGTCCATTTCAACTTGAGATATTCTATTATTTTGTATATATGTTAATTTGAGCGTTTCAGAGTGAAGGGCAAAGGTCATTTGCAAAGTCAAGAATTCTTTGATTTGATTTGTTTTCAATATCTCCCTCAATTAGCATGCTAATTATTTTATGTGTTTCAGTTATGATGGAAGCTGTCATGTTATTTTGTATGTAACTCTGACAAGTAATACATTTACAGATTGGCAGCTAATTTCTTCTTGTTTCTTCCTTTGTTGACCTTTCAATAGCCTGCAGTTATTTAGTAGTAGCTCACAGTAAATATTTTGCTATCCTGTTGATCGTTCTTGCACGACATTTTCCATCAGGATAGCTGAAGTTATCATTTGGTTTTCTTTTTCTGTGTTTCTATAAAAATTGAGCACTGCTGGTTTTCATTGTGGTGCTGGGATAAAACTGGTTCTGGGGTGGTTAGGACTGTTTGTTTCCTTGTGCTCTTTTGTTTGAGTACACTGGCCCTTGTCCTTGTCCTGCACAGAACTGTCACACGCCTCTGGGGTGACAATGGTCAATGCAGCAGCTCTGACAGATGTTTGACAATGCTGAGACTGAGATAAAAAGTTCAGTAGTGTGATCTACAATTTACTTGACCTTAGGAGATGTTTTAAAGAGAGCTTATGCTGCTCAGTTGATCAGGATTATAGGTGCTTATTGATACTTCATGCTTTTGTAGATTTTATTATGTGAATTCTATTCTGTATCTTACAAATATCAGGTGTATGTTCTCTGCAATGTATCTGCAATGTACTCTTTTGTAACCATTAGCTGATGGGCAAGTGAGTCATAGTTAATGTAGATATGAGTCTTAAAATAATTTAAGAATATTTTAAAACTAATTCCTTTTTTTATTTGTTTCTTAGGGTTCTGTGGCAAAACCCCATATAATTGTAGTAGGAGCTGCCACGGTAAGTTATACATATATTGGGGATTTTAGTGAAGAAGAAGTTCTTGTAGGATAACTTTTAATGTTCTTGAGTTGGTTACATGAACAAGTTGTTAAACACAGTTTGGAGTAAAAATCTATTCTCAGTGAATTTATTGTTACTAAAAGTAGTTTTAAAATACCAGGTATGCTTTATTATACCTTTGTGATGTACAGTACTTGGTTTTTGTCAGCAGTACTGGTTAATAGGCATTAATTTGCTTTAACCTAGCTAATAAAGTGGATTTAGTTAAAAGCAGATTATTAATTTTAAAAGTTAAACTATTTGCATACTAATTGAAGTGTATTTTTAATACACCTTTTTCAGTCACAAAATTCTACTTTTGAGTATGGCCCAATCTGGGATGGTCTCTTTCACCACGTATATTTCTTTTATATATATATATAGAGGTAAAAATCACAATTTTACATGGATAATTCAACAATTAAAGAGGTTGGAGTTCTGGAATCTTGTTGCACTGGAAGATTCCACCACTGATATGCATTGCAGCATCACAGGAAACAGGGCTGACAAGGACCAGAAGAGGTGTCCTGACCCATCAGTTTGCCACCAGGCAGGATATTTCTACTTATCTTACACTTGGCAAGAGTGAACCAATTCTTTAAAACTTCCAGGGATGGAATTCAGCAGGCCCCTTAATTAGTCTGTTCTAGTAACAAAGTCTAATCAAACAAACACTCATCTCATTATTTCCGCATTTAATGTCCCTTGCTTCCAAATATTTGGGAATTGGAATTTGGAAAGAATTAGCTAATTTATTTTCATAGGAGCTGAAATGTAAAGGGGGAAAAATGTGTTGCATTTAAAACAAAATCCTTCAAAAGCAGTTTGTTTTAGAGACAGTTGAGGCACTCTACCAATCTGGAAACTTGTGGGCATGCCCATCTAAGGACAAACTCCCTCACTTTTAAGAGGTGGTCATGTGTGTGTGTAACCCTCCACACATTTCCTGAGGCATCAAAAATTCTCCTTTTTCTTTAGGTGAACCCCTAAGTTCCCTTCCTCAGTAGGATCCACATAAATATTTGAGCTTTAGGAATTGTAGTAAGCCTAGAATATGATTTCTTAGTCTGAGACTGTAGCATTTATTACTAGCATGAGTCATTGTATTCCATAGAGAAAATGCCATTATATATGGATGATGGTCTGGCATGCAGAAGGTCAGGTTGCAAAGCTGCAGGACACTTAGCTAAATAATTCCCTTTACTTGTATGTATATATTAGCTCTAGCTTGTTGCCTTTTGTGGACAGCAGGAGATAGAAACTAACAATATGCAGGGGAGGCTCTGCTCTTCTTAACACTACTATATTTATACAAAACATTTAATATGGTATCTAGAGTTGAACAAAGATAAACATACTCTGTTTTAAGGGGCTTCCAAAAAAAAAAAAGCTTCAAAAATCAGACATATCGGCAACCTCACCACAGCTGACAGTGGTGTGGTAACCTGCCACTAGATTAAACTGGTGTGTGCTCTTGGACTTTGTTGCATTTTGAAATTTACCTATATCTTTAACTTAGCTCTTGGGTTGGTCATGCTACTTCAGCCTGGACATGTCTGTCTTAAGATGGCAACTGCATAACAGTTTATAAATAGAAGTCCTATAAGCTGGAGGAGCTCCAGCTCATCCAAAAGTCAGTTGCTTTCTTATTTTGGGAAAAGGAGCTTCTCTGAGAATGTCATTACCATGCTCTGCTTCTTAATTCCTCACTTCCTGTTGCATGGAACATGCTGCTTTAACTGTCTGTTAGATATGTTGGTGTTTCAAAATGAAGTATTTAGCTGCTGGGAGAAACTGCTTCTTTTTTTCCAGTGGGAGTTCTCAGAGCAGCTGTATGTAGTTTGGCTTCACAAAGTATTAATTTAGATTGAATAATATTTTCAGGAAGTGCATTAATCAGTGTACTTGTCTTCTGATGAAATTTTTATGTGGCTATTTAGACATAAATAGGGTTTGCTACACTTAGGCTAATTGTTATGGTTTTGCTTTTTTTAGTTTTTACTAGGTCAGTAGAGATACAGTAACACTTTAAAAAAAAAGCTGCCTCCATTTTTCATAAGGTGTGGGAAATAATTTTCAAAAGTTAGGAGGAATTCATGAGTGGGTATAGCATTCTCCCAGGGATTTCCTATAGAAGATTAAACCAGAAATTAAAATGGCTCTTGTTTGGTTTTTGAGGTTTTTTTCCCCTTTGTGGATATCTGCAAAACAGATGGAAGTATTGGAACTTGATAACCCCATCAAGTTTTGTTTGCATGCATCTCTTGCTGTAGTCAGTCTAGAGGGGAATTGATTGAACTGGCCAAGATTTTTCAATAACAAGAGTGGCTTTGCTACTTCATTGTTGGATAAAGCCAGGAGACTTTGAATTAAAATTTAATTTATGAAAAGTCAAACATACACACAAGGTGAATGTTAAATACTCTGTATTTGGATGATGTGATTGAATGTAATTATCTGTCTGGATAGCTGCTTGGTCTAAAATAATTTTTTTAGCACATTTGAATAGAAAGCTGAAGAAATCTAGCTGTATTGAAGTAATGACAAATAGCTACAAATGGAGCAAGGAAATAAATTAATTAGAGGTCCTCAGACATACATGTTCTGAATTTATTTCTTTTTTTCTCCAGTGGTCTATCAAGATTCACAATGGCAGCAATGAAGCTCTTGCACAATATAAAATCAATATCACTTCAATTGCACCTCTTTTGGAAAAATTAGCAATAAGTAGTGATGTTTACTGGGTCTTACAAGGTAAAGTAATGAACAGTAGGTAACAATTTTTAACTTCACTGTCTGTTGAATTGTTATGTTGCAGGCTATGGAAAACATAATCCATACTCTTACTTGCAGATTGAAAAAGGTGTTAGTTGAACTTCAATCTCTCCTTTCTTGCAGTCATAACTAAGCTGATAACCTAAATAGCTGCTACTACTGATAGAGATTTCAAAGCTCTAGCAGGAAAAGCTTTTGCCTTATGAACTCTTAATTCTTTGTTAGCTTACTCTCAGACTCAACATGCCAGGTCTGTTCTCCGTGTGCTGTGCTCCACACATACCTCCTGGGAGTCAAGAGTACAGGTGCATGCAACAGCAGTATTCCTGTGGTTTTTGTTCAATTCAATTTTCAGGTTATATTAATAATAGAAGTTGAACAAGTGCATCCTCTGTGTGTGTGTCTACAATGACTAGACACATTCTTGAGAATATAGAGAATTTAAGTCCCTTGAATGAAATTTGTTTCTCTACACTGGGATGAGAAATCATGGCTCACAATGAGTTAGTGAGATTTTTATTATGGCACCAAGCTTACATTGTTTTGCTTTTCTTCAATAAAACTAAAATATTTCTCTGAAAGTGAGCAATGAGCTCATAGGTAGAATGTTCTCCTGGTTTCTCTGCCACAGGACACACCATTTTAGGTTGTCATCACCTTAGTTACAAACACAGGCAGGTTTTGAGCCCTGTTAGCAGTATACCCAGCTGTAAACTAACAATCACATCCAAGTTCCTATCAAAGATGGTTCTAGAGGTAAATCTGAATCAACAAATCAGTCTCCCATTCCTTTCAAAGCCATGGATATTGATACCAGAAGCAGTTAGCTGTCAGACTTGTCCCACCATGGTACTGCTGAGGACCTTGTCCATTTACATAATCTCTGAGCTCTTTAGTAGCCCAAGTGGGAGGAGAAGCAATCTGTACAGAGTTGTCAAGACATTGGTTATCCTAACACAGGCATGATGTATCTAAAGTAAATCAATCTGCATCTCACAGAGTGTGTCACAGCAGGAACTTTTCACAGGAGCTTAAAGACCTCTGGCTGACCTTTTGGTCTAGAACCCCATATCACTTTCTTTTAAGCTTTACATAATTTCTGAAGCCTGTAGGCAATTAAGTCAACCTTTTTCTCTGTAAAACTGAGATTCTGCCGTAAGTTAAACTGGAATCAAGAGGAGCAAGTGGAATATGTTTATGGCCTATGAGAAGTGAGGAGCTGGGGTTTTTTCCACAGAAGAAAAGAGGAAAGTTTGTGGTTTTTTTTTTTTTTTTTCACTTGTCTGTTCCACTGCCTGTCTTCTGCCCTTTTTCCTTTTGGAGTCTTTTCTTGGGTGATTTCATTGCTGAGAGAAAGCATAAGCAGCTCTGCACCTTTAGCATTATCTGCTTTTCCTGGATTCAGAGAAATTAAACAAGCATTCATGTGTGGCCAGAGCTTTCTAACCTACAACTACATATGCATTAATAGGGAATGGTGATAAGAACATTTAGTGATAAACAGCTCTGGTAACTGTAGCAGTCATTTATTCCTTGCTGTACATTTTTTTCTGTACAATTAAACAATTGTGACCTCTTAAATGAAAGCAGCCTGTGCAACTTGAGCTAAGAAAATCCATTGATAAGTCTAAGATTAATGTGTTCATTCTTTGTCCTTTGAAATTCAGATCCTGTTTACGAAGATATGCTGAGTGAAAGTCGGAAAATGATCACTAATGAGAAAATAGATGCTTATAATGAAGCAGCTGTTCGTATTCTGAACAGCAGCTCCCGAAATTCCAAAGCTAAAGTGAAAGTGTTCAGTGTATCAAAACTGATAGCACAAGAAACTATCATGAAGTCTGCAGATGGTCTGCATCTCCCTGAATCAAGCAGAGATACAGTAAGTGTTTTTAGCAGTGGTCAACATTGAAAGTATTAATAGTAAAACAAGATCTGAGGTGAATGTTCTGAAACTGCAAACGGTATGGCTATCAAGAGGACTACATTTGTCAGGGAATTTTGTTCAGAAAATTCCAGTGGGTGGGAGTGCAGTCAGTTTTATAGGCATTTTAAAAAACATAATAGCAAAAACATTAGTGCATAACTATTTTTAAATAGCTGTTAATCCACTAGATCTTTTAGATCCTGAGTGCAAACTTCATGCTTTCATGTGTATGAATGTGTTAAGGTGGTAATGACTTGTAAAGCAGTGCTAAGAAGTAAGTCTTAAATTTCCCCCTATGTGTCCAGAAAATTTGGTTTGGTAAGGAGCATGAAGAAGCCAACAAACACAGTATAGATCACTCTGGTTGCATGGAGTGTCTCTGACTTTCTTTCTTTCTTCTCTTTTACTAACCAATATGTATATGCATGCAGTGAGCCCCTCTGAGGTTTTCAGCCTGCCCTTTTTGTGAAAAACTCTCCCATTATGTCACTTTTGGTTCCATGTCTTTGCACGTTTAAGTTGCTTTAAAGTACTGGATGAACTAAATGTCATCTTACCACATGTTTCAGTCTCACTGTCATGTTTCAGAGACTTGCATTACTGTGCCTCTTTAGAACCCAAGTTTGTGAGCTGGTTTTCATTTACAGAAATAATGAGAGAACCCTCCTGTTCTAAGATTAGCCATTTTTGCTTACTTGTAGAAGTTCAAGTATTTTTTTTTTTTTGGAAGAAGTGTTTTGACTGGACTGTTATATACAACTGAGTATATGGTGGGACTGTAAGATTTTATTTTTGTAATGATAAGGGAGAAGTGCATGTCTGATGTCAGCTCATGATGCAGAAAAAAATTTCTTTCGATGGAAATGTTAACTGTCTTATTAGAAATTAATTACCAAAACTGCTTATTTTTTTACAGAATGCAATGATTCTTATGAATGTCTACTGCAATAAAATAATGAAGCCCATTGATGGCTCCTGCTGCCAGCCTCAGCCTCCTCTCACTCTGATACAGAAGATCGCTTTCTGTTTCTTTACTTTGTCCATTTTTGGATATTTAATTATCAGCTTAATTCATCGGAATAATTATCGGAAGAACAAATCATGCACTGATTTGGAAAGTGGAGAGGAGAAGAAACCTGCCATCAGCACACCTAACGTTTCTACTTTAGAGATGCTCTTACACTGCTTTTGCAAACTTGGTCTAATCATGACCTATTTTTATCTGTGTGACAGAGCAAATCTTTTCATGAAGGAAAATAAATTTTACACACATTCATCTTTCTTCATACCCATCGTCTATATCTTGGTTTTGGGGGTATTTTATACTGAAAATACCAAAGAGGTAACGATCACCTTGGCATCCTGCTTAAAATGTTGTTTCCCAATTTGTGTGTAAAATAACCCATTTCTAAGTATTCAAGGTTAATTTTTCAAAGTTATTATAACTCACCTGCAAAAAATGCCATCTTGAGCAGTATAATGTCTGCATAGAATTAGACAGAGGCTAAGGCTTTTTGAAGCCATATGGATATCACCACTTTAGTCATTCTCACTCTTCCAAACTGGAATTGATCAGAACTCAGCTAAAAGAGAATTTAAATAATGTTAAATCTGTGCCCATTAGACAAGACTTTTACAGTTGAGAGAGACCCATTTACCCATAAAGTGGTTTATTGTTTGAACTTTTTCTCCTCATTTTGTAGATGTTCCTTGTTCTTTTTGGAATAGCAACACTCTTGTTTTGTTTTGCATTAGACTAAAGTGTTAAATAGAGAACAGACTGATGAATGGAAGGGCTGGATGCAACTTGTTATTTTGGTTTATCATATCTCTGGAGCAAGCACTGTAAGTGATTTGAATTTCTTTTGCTTTTAGGGGGAATGCAATTTGAGTATTGTATTTCAAAAGAAAGATAGTGTAAATGGACATTAGAACTGAATAGAATGAGTCAGTAATGCTATTGTTTCTGTTGTTTTAAACATGGTATTAGCAGAGTTAGTTTTTCTCTCTAAGTGTATTTTTGACTGAGAAAAACATATGTTACTTGACCAGTTAAAAAAAAAAAGTGTCCTCTGTGTAGAATATTGCATTAATTTATTTTTAATTGCTAGCAACTTGAAACTGTTGAAGGTGAGCTTTCAAAGAGCCCTTCTTAAGTCTCTCATAACAAGTAATGGAATATGGCAAGTGTAGAGCAATAAATAGAAAAAATTGTCCTAACATGAGAAGTTAGGACACCAAAAGAGCTTAGTAAGAAACAGGGCAAGGTACCCCAGTGTTTCTTTTCATGGTTAAATCTGATTTAGTGCAATGCAGAAATAGCATAAAGGAGAGGGAGCAAAAGGAAAGCAAAAAATATTTACCTGGACATTTATAAAAAGTACTTTATTTTTCTCAACAGTTTTTGCCTGTGTACATGCACATTCGAGTTCTGGTTGCTGCATATCTGTTTCAAACAGGTTATGGGCACTTCTCGTATTTTTGGATAAAAGGGGACTTTGGTGTATACAGAGTCTGTCAGGTAAGAATATCTCCCTACTATTTTTATAAATAAATTTTTCAGATAGCAAAGTATCCATAATATATCCATACTCTCTAAATAATGTGATACCAGCTCATTTAACCGAGGTTTAAACAATAAAAATGGCTGTTGTGTCTATGTAATCTGAGCTGTTTAACTGGTAGTGTTCATCTAATACAAACTTAAATCATATAAATGATACTTAAAATGTAAAAAATGTAATTATGTACACTCTGAAATTACAAGACAAGTATCTTCTAATAAATAGCAATGGAGATTCCATTGCAGTAGCAATTTACAGTAAATAGCAATATGTAAATAAAGAGCCAGGTAGGCTTCCAAAGACAGTGTATTGGAGCCTACATTTATTAATAAAGAAAAATAATTTTCACACCATAACAACACTGGACAACATACCTGGTTTTGTGGCTTTCCTCCTAGGTTTTGCAGCATATGCTGCAGTACTTTAATTTTTTTCTAATGCATATCTCTTATTGCAATTAGGTTTTACATTGTCCTGTAAATCAGGTCATTGTGCTTAGTAAATGTACATTTACAGCCTGATGATGGCATTACCCTGGCTCTAAATGAGCTAGCCTAGGTAGCTTTTGGGGGGAAAAAAAGAGAGACATCAACAGCATCCAGCAACTAGAGCACTTGGTCCCCCGCCTGGGAAATAGGCAGATAGGGTTAACCTTATTTTCATCACAATCTCTACCCAAGCAGGTCAGGGTAGGACAGGTCCAGAACCACATAATCAATCTTACCTTGCCCTGCTGATGTTCCCTGTGCTACTTTATCCATGTTTCAATGTAAAATGCATAGATATTTTTGTACAGTGCTAAAGGAACATGTCCTCATCTTTCTCAGCTTTGCCTCCCAGTTTACATATCCTCTGTCTTCTCTCCTCTTACACCCCTCAGGTTTTATTTCGTCTCAATTTCTTGGTTGTGGTACTGTGCATAGTGATGGACCGACCTTACCAATTCTACTATTTTGTGCCATTAGTCACTGTCTGGTTTATGATCATTTATGCCACCTTAGCTGTATGGCCTCAGATTGTCCAGAAGAAAGCAAATGGTAAGATTTCTTTTTTTCTTTCTGCTATAAAACATGTATGTTATTATAATGATAATCATACAGAAATGGCTTTGTTAGTGGATCTCAGTCTCTTGGTTAGTCAAAATATGCTAAACAGCTGCTCACAGAAATACCATTTGTCATAGGTGAATTAGGTCAGTTGAAATATATAACAGCTGATGACTAAACTCTGTCTCTGGTTATAGTCAGATTAGAATACTTTTTAATAGGTTTTGATCATCAGGAATGTGTTTTACAAGAATTGCAATTTTACTGGATGGAAATGAAAGCCATAGGTTGCACTGTGTGTGCTTGCTGGGGCAGTGTCTGTCGAGCGCTGGGTGCAGTGTGAACAGGGAGTGTTTAGACTTTCTCCTTCTGTGTTGCCAAGGTGTCTGTCCATCCTGAGCACCAGTTCTGCCTTAGCTGGCCAAATAAGAACATAGGGGCTTGCTATCCTAATATCTTAGATTAAATGAGCTATCAGAAGTATGTCCTGTTGTACAACTATTTTAAATAAAAATGGAAGTGAAATCCCAGTTTATGTGTTGTAATTCCTTAAAAAGCTGCAAAGCATGTAATAAATGCATGTTATTTAATTTGTTTAAATTAGAACTAAAACCTTAAGAGCCTTAAATCATTCCCTATTGATGGAGGAATATCCCCATTTTATAGTCTGAAGATACGACCATTAAATATACCAAATATACACCAGGAATAGATGCTGCGAGAATACACTTGAGTAGTTTTACAAGATATCTCAAATATCTTCCTTCTTTTTTTTTTTTTCCCAGAAGCAGAGAAATTACTCTTGTGTACTTTGGAGCAATAGTGTACTGTGAAACTAGAAAATCTTTCAATGATAGCTTTCAGTTGTTTATGATCCTTTTTACAGCAGCCAGTTTATATGGTTGGAGGGGGAGATGATCTCTGTTGCAATGCTGAGGTTTGGGTAGAGCTTGTTTGGCAGCTTTGAGGAGTAGTTTCTCAGGCTTGTTTCAACAAGGTGCTTATCCTTAATGACCTGCAGTTGAACTTTGGAGTAAGACTGATATCTCAAAGTTTAATAATATTTACTCGTTTCACATGACAAAAGGAAGGCATTTTTATTAATATATTTATTTACACTCACCTGGAATAAGGACTGCCTGTGCAGAGTGTTTGGGAAAGCAGAGGTTTTAAAATAGTGTTTCTGTTTGAACACCTAAATTCTCTTTATGCATTTTGTCCCTGTCTTAGAAATGAGGCTTAGTTTAGGCTCAAAACTTTTTAGATTTTTAGTTGCTGTGAATGTTTATTTTAATGGCTTAAAGTAAAATTTAAATGTAGCTAGTGATAAAATATTGCTGGCAATATTTGAACATTTATTTATGAATGGATCTATTACAAAACATAGCTACACTAAATAATTGGCAGTTATTACTTAATGTGTCCTGGGGCTTGCTGTTGAAAAATTAATGACAGTATAATGATTAATTTATTTCTTCCTCAGGGAGCTGCCTGTGGCACTTTGGTTTACTGCTGAAACTGATTTGCTTACTGACATGTATATATTTTCTGTCATATTCTCAGGTTTGTAAATCCTGGCTATATTTATCCTTAATGACCTAAGAGTGTATTATTACCTGTCTTTACTTTTTGATGTGCTCATAACTTGTATATTTGCTCCAGTATCATAAATACAGAAGAAAAAAAAATGAACCTTTTGATTTCTTCTCATATTTGAATAGGTTTGGGTGCTGGAAAAACCCACAACTGTGTGTCTTACTCATTGGTTTGTTATATTGGACATATTTTCAATGTACTACTGTGAATGCAGTAAATACAAGGGCCTGTGCTTTGGATTTGGGGTGGGGTTTTTTCATGTGCTTAGAGTTACTGAGTTTTGCCAGCATGTGGGAATGCATATGGTGATACAGTGATAATGAAGTTCTGTGTTGGCTTTGATACCACATCAAAAGATTGGTTCTCAGGCTAAATTAGCAACTCCCTGCATGCTATAAGTACAGCTGACAGAAAGAAGTCAGGGTAGAGTTTGTCTCTCCAGGATCTTACAGGGGGGTTGTGTGGTTTTAATCCCTCACTGGTTTTCAGCCTGTTGAATTGTAGTTTTGGAGTACATATTCCTCATCACAACCTGTTAGTGAATCTCTCCCTGTGAGGAGCAGTACAAAATGGAAGGCATGCAAATACCTTAAGGGGAAGCAAAACTCAAGCTCTCTCTCATGTGAAGAAGTTTTTCCCTTTCCCTTTTCCCTTTCCCTTTTCCTTTTTTGGGTGAAAGAAAGGAACCCTGTTGTTTTTCTAGTGCCATGCAGCTAGTGAAATAAGGGTAGAATTATATTAAACATGTTATTGATTTAAATTCAGTAAATACAGTCGATGTCAGTGTTAATGCTTCTCCATGTTTATCTTTTACAGGGTGCATTTGAGAAGATATTTTCATTTTGGCCATTGTCCAAGTGTTTTGAACTGAATGGGACTGTCTATGAATGGTGGTTTAGGTGGAAGCTGGATCGCTACGTATGTAACATTTGCATAAATTTTTACTTGTCTTTTAAATGTATGTTTTAATTTGAAGAGGGAAGAGGGAGGGTTGTTTTCCTGCCCTCCAGAGAAAACAGGAGTTTGCCCCAGTGTTTAATAAAAGACAAAGCTGCAACCACTTTAGCACTGCAAATGTCTATCTGAGCCTTGCTTAAAAATGGAGGTTGATTTATTTGCTTCCAGATCTAAAAAAATTAAGTATCAAGTATCCTAGATCTGTCTTTTCTCAAAAATTTTACTGTGAAAATTTAACACCTGTAGTACTTCAGGCTATTGAAAGACAAGGAAAATTACTGTGGAAGCTTTTTTAATAACACTTTTTGGCTGTATCAATTAAGCTGTATCAATTAAGGATATATTTCTTTTAAGGTAAAATATGAAACATTAAAATCAGGGTCTTGGTGCCCAAACTGGACTACTCTTGTACCTATTTTTAAATTGTTTTCCATTGGGAAAGTCCTTTCCTTCCAGTTATTGACTCTGCAATGGGGGGTAATAGAGCAGGGAGACATTGATCTTTTTTCCTTTCCTTCTTGGCAAAGGTGAGTGGAGTTTCTAAGATGGAAGCCTTGAAGTGCTGAACTTACCCTGCACGGGATCAGTCCCATGTGTGTCCCCTGGGGCAGAGCCTTGTCACACCCAGGGACAGCAGCACACCCTGCCTGGCAGCCCGTGCTCCCTGCTGGCTCCTGTGAGCACTGTGGCTTGGATGGTGCTCCTGAGGAGCAGAGCTCCAAATAAGCACAGAGGACAAGCACTGTGTGGGCCTGAGAACGTGGCATAAGACCCTAAAACACTCAGTTGAAGAATTGTGTCTGTGAGAGAGGGAAGCACTTGTCCTGCTTCTCTTGAATGTTTTCACCTGCCAGTTTGGGAGAAAGCCAAAGTCTTGTGGTTTTTCCCCAGAGAAAGCCTTTTCAGTGGTGACATAGATTGCAGAGGGGATAGTAGGTACTTGAAAGCTTCTTGAAATTTGTCTTGTGTTTAATGCTCTCTGAAGCATTAGTAAAGGTTCTTTATTTGTAGGTTTTGAGTCGAGTTAAAAATTCAGTTTATGACTATCTCGTGTCATAAAACCAGAAAGTCTGGTTTCGTTTGCTTCAGTAAATCTGGGAAAGGAGCTTTTGAAATGTAGCATTAAAACTACATTATCTGGTAGCATTTCTAGTAAGGGTTTATACCTGAAGTACTTGTAAAAGCCATGAAATATAAATTGCATTCTGTTTGTCTTTTACAGGTGGTTTTTCATGGGATGCTGTTTGCTTTTATTTATCTGGCATTGCAGAAACATCAGATGATATCAGAAGGAAAAGGAGATCCTCTTTTCTCCAACAGAGTTTCAAATGTTTTATTATTTATTTCAATTGTGTCTTTTTTGGTAAGTATCTATTATAATCTAGTATAATCATGTTTGTAAATATATGAAAAATAAGTTTTCTGAAGTTGTTGTTTAGTCAGTATTATCTAACAAACCTTGAAAAATCAGATCTTTATCCTGAGATATTTTAGCTGGGTTTTTCTGTCAGCCTTACCTATCTACTCACTTAAAATATTTTCTGATCAGTCAGATGAAGATGAAAACATCATTACTATTTCAGGTTATTTCAAAGCTTTAAAGAAAATTGGATCATAAAAATAACGTGGTAGATAACACAGCTTTTATCTTCACACTTGATTGCTCATCAATTTTTGATGAAAAAAAGTTGTATTAAGAATTACTCATCAGATAAGTATTCATGAGTTGCAAAGAAGAATTAAAGAGAAACCCAAAGGTTAAGTCATGTAGTTTTTTTCTGTTAGTGTCCCTAATCTTAGTGAACCTACTAATGCTAAAACAATTCAAAATATCATACTCTTGTTTCGCTTTTATGTGTCCATATAATTGCTACACAGACTAATTTTTTAATATCTTCTAGACCTACTCTATTTGGGCTAGTAGCTGTAAAAACAAGACAGAGTGCAATGAGCTACATCCTTCTGTTTCTGTGGTGCAGGTAATTATTAGTCCTTTTTGAATACTGTGATAGAATCTAGTCTATTCTTGTTTGAGCTTTTTTAAAAATTGTTTTAAAATATATTTGTGCTTTTGCATGGCATGTCAGATATTGAACTTCATTCCCATGTCTGAAAGTGAAAAAGAGTTTAACAACATTAGTCAGTTTTTCATTGCCTTTAAGCCCTGGAATTGCACACTGTGATTGTGGTTTTGATTTATCTGGATGCCCTTAAGGTAGGTTTCGTATGCACCATTTAAGTCCAAACCCAACTTTTGACTATTTACATAGCAGTGGAAAAGAAGAAAGCTGTGGAAGAGAAGAAAGGTGTAGAAAAGCAGGAGTGTTTGGGAGGTATTAGTGTAGGAAGCAGCCTATGGGACCCTGTAGTCACTTCCAGACAGAGAAGATGTGGGCCACAGAGCCATGCATGTGGTTTTCTTCAATTTAGATGCTCCTCTTGCTGTGTGCCCTGCCCCACTAAGCCCCAGCTGTCTCATTCTGTGCCCTGTTTCTTCTCTCATTATTTTGTCCTGCTCTCTTGAGGGGCAGCAAGAGGGATAATATTAATTTTTAATATTATTTTGTCCATCTTGACACCCTCTCTTTAAAAATTGAGGGTTAACTCAAATTTGTGGCCACCTTTATTTTAGGCTGGCATGGTGTTACATGTTTTGTGACCATGCCTAGGAGGCACGTAGTAACACCTGTCAGCATCAAGGCCATGATTCTACTGGAGATGCAATTGTGACCTGCTATGCTGTAAGCATTTGTGTACAATATTTTTAGTTTCAACACCTACTTTGTTAAGTATAAACTGCATGGATTTTTGTTTGGTTTATATTTTTATTTGCTTTTAAAGAAATTTTAATGCATGATGCCCTTCACTTAGTGCAGTGAAAATGGATACACCTTTTATGTGTTGTTTAGCTTGTCATCCACAGTCACTTCCTTTGTTTTACCTTTTCTTTTTTTTTAAAAACCCAAAGATTTTAGCTTTCATCCTTATCAGGAACATTCCCGGATATGTCCGATCTGTGTACAGCTCCTTCTTCGCCTGGTTCGGCAAAATTTCTTTAGAGGTAAGTAGAATCACCAGAAGTACAGTGCATTAAATCTTAGAAATGCAAGGTGGTGTTAGGTGGTTATTGTCTATGGACTATAACATAAAGAAAAGATTTATTGGCCTACTAAATACCATGCTGTTATGTTTGACCTCTTTTAGCATTATAGCTTTTGTTGCACTTAAGAATCGTGGCTGAAATAGCAGTCTCACAGTGGCAAGCTTAATTCTTGTTGGAAGATAAAAATTTAGGGAGTTGAAGAATTTGCGTAAATTTTGCTTACTAGTGTAAGAACACTTACAAATGTGTTTGCCCTAGAAAGCTTTTTGTGACTTATAAAGAAATTTACCATTACAAATGAACCCCTTCTTAATGCAAGCGTTACCTTGTTCCATTGAGTGTGTATTTTGAAACGGTAGGAATTTTCTTGCTTCCCATTTTATTTGCCATTTAGTGATATTAAATGTGACATTTTTTACTAAAATATGTTTCTAGGAGAAACTCATTGCAGTACAGTGTATATGGGGTACCGGATTTTGTGGGTTTTTTAAAGGATCACATTTCACTCTTCCAATTCCTGTGGGTTTTAGGTGCTGATCAGCTCCATGGAGCTGTGCATTCATCAGCAGGTGAAGCATTCTCTGTTACTTGCAGGCATGACAGTTCAGAGCCTCACCAGAGAGACACTAACTGGGGGAGGCAGATTCCTCCCTGCTCTGATGGGATGTATCCAATGCTCCCCTGAGCTGAAACTGGTTTAGGGCCAAGCAAACCTCGTGTGATTTAACAAGCTCATGGTTTTGTTCTGTAGCAAAGTCATCTGGAAAACAGCTTTCAACTTAAGCAGCAGTGTGTCAGTTGATGCAATAGTAATAATTCTATGGGTTTTGGTAAGTAAAAATATTTACATGTATAAGTACTGTTAAACACTTTTTGTTTTTCTTTTAGCTCTTCATTTGCCAATACCATATTTGGCTGGCAGCAGACACAAAGGGGATCTTGGTGCTCATTCCTGGATATCCAATGTTTAACGTTCTTGTCAGCACTTTCATATTTGTGTGCGTGGCACATGAGATTTCTCAGATCACTAATGATCTAGCACAGATTGTGGTTCCTAAAGATAACTCAACTCTGCTGAAAAGGTTGCTATGCATAGCTGGATTTTTTTCTGGACTACACTTCTTCTCAGCAATGCAAGATCAGTCAAGGCATTAACTTGGAAACTTTCTTCGGGTTTACTTTGTGTCTGCCTGAACAAAACTTCTCAACTGGAGGTACAAGAAGACATTTAAATTAAACGCGTGGAAAATGTATATAGTGGAAATGTACATATTTTGTGTGGAAATAGCCTTCTCAAATAATCTGAGAAACAAGAGTGCACTGTACAGAATTGCATGTGAAAATGAGTCTTTTCTACTGGATGTTTGTTTCTGTTTACATATCTGTTGAAGCGAGGCGGAGGCAGTGCGGTGGTTGAGCAGCACCGTGGGCGAGCGCGGGGCCGGGGGCTGCGCTGGCGCTGCTGTTCCAGCGCCCGCCGCGCGGAGCAGGCGCTGCCGCCTCGGCCGGGAGCGCGCCCGGCACGGCCGGGAACCGCCGGAACCGCCGGAACCGCTGCCGGGACAGCCCGACCAGGGCAGCGCTGGAGCAAAGCGGTCATTTGCTGGTTAGAAATTAGTGTTTGGGGTGGAAATAGTAGTACATGTTATATGAAACCCTTGGGATGTGGAAGTAAAAAGTAATCATCAGTTCAGTGGTTGAAGATTATATACAAGTTTACATAATACTTTGTGAGGGTTTTTTTAGAAATTTAAGATGTGTTCAGCGAATACGGTGAATTCAGAGACAAAATTTTTTTATAAAGAGAATTTGGGTTTTCTTCCTAGAATTGTTTGCTTTTTCATAATTTTTTTCACTAATTAATTTAACTGTGTGTAGTTCTGTGTAGAATCCCAGTGAACAAACAAATGAAAATTCAGAGACTCAGTTCAAGATGGGAAATTTGTGGAAGACTCTCCAACCTTTTTAAGTCAGATGAAATCCCATCATATCCACTCCATCAGATCTTAGGGGAATGGTGATCTTTAACCCTCTCCCTGTGTTTGTAGGTGACTTTGAATTAGGTCTCGCTAGGGAACTAAGCACTAGAGTGCCATGTTCTATGCTGTAATATCATTTTCATTTAAGAGGATGCAAGTCAGTCTGTTGGTATCATGAGGATCAGGGATTGAGTGGTCAACTTTGTTGCATGAAGATGGTTGAGTCTCAGAATTACAAGTGAAATGAGATTGGAGCTGTCTGGAGAAAATTTTTTTCCCATCCTTTTTGGGAGTGCCCAGTCTTTCTTACTAATTTTTTCCTTTAGCAAAAACCTTAAAATTGAAACAGTCCTTCAGTGTGGCAGTGGCAAGCTGTTGTTTACATTCTACTAATCAGTGAAGTTATGGACATTTCTTGGTTGGTTGCAGGTTTTGTTCGAGTAATAGTTTGACCTCTGGTTGCCTTTTCATTTTTTTCTTCTTATTTGTTAGCAGTCAAAAACATGAGAGCAATATTATTTTCCAAGCATATGTGCAATTATGTATGATACTGAACAACATGAATCTAATTTGTACCATATATACTGTCACATGCATGTTTTTATTCTTATCCCAGGTAAAACATTGAATTCAATCTTGCAGCCATGAATGAATGCAAAACAAATTTATGAAAATAATTACTTCAATTTTTTTTTTGTGTGGTGGAGAACAGTTTTTTTTAAAGAATGAGCAGTCATTCATCACAAAAAACGAAAAAGAAATCATTCACTTCCCCCAAATTCAGCAATTTTACTAAGCCTGCCAGCTGTTTTCAAGATACTGAAAAGATACTCAGCTGTGTGCATATACTTCCAGTGCTTGGGAATTTAACCTCATTGATCAATACATTTGAGTGACTGAAGGAAAGACTGTTGGTGGACACCATAGTGGGGAATAGCAAGCATAACCTTCATCTATGCCAGTATTATGAGCAGCAGGGAACTGTGAGCTTGAGGGATAATTTTTGTTTTGTTCTTCACGACATAACTATTGTAGATATAACTCTATTTATCTGTTGTACAGACTTGGTTAAAAGATTTATTTTTAATGTTTGAAATAATGCACTTGTTTACTATTACTGTATGTGGGATAAATATATTTTCTTTTCAGGTTATGTAAAAATATGAAGTAATTTAAACATTAAATAAAAGTGCTGTGGATGCTTATTTTTGTAATGGGGCCAGCATCATTTAAGTAACAACTCTATTGCTTGTCTCTAGCTGTGCTGCAGTTCACTGTATCAAACTAAGGCAGATGCAGTGCAGGAATTGCTCTGCACTAAATGGCCCTGTCCCTGCTCTGATGAAATTCCAGCTCCAGCAGCCAAAGCCAGCCTGGAGCTCAGGGGCTCTGAGCAGAACTCCACACTGGAGGCATCAGATACTTTTCCCTGCCAGGAACTCTGCAGCAGAGCTCTGCAGGAAAGCAGAGGAACTGACTCGGCTTCTCTTTGGTCTGGCAACATCAAGAAAGCAAGCCCAGCCTGAAGACTTGCTTGAGTTATGGAATTTAGATTCTACCTGAGCTACTTAAATCCCACCCCCAGTAGAAGGGGTTCCTTAAGCAAAGGAAGTACTGATCTCTAATCTTGTGACTGATGACAAGACACAGGGAGATGGCCTGAAGTTGTGTCAGGAGGTTTAGGCTGGATATCAGAAACGGTTCTTGACCCAGAGGTGGCTGAGCCAGGGAAGCAGTCACAGCACCAAAGCTGCCAGAGTCCAAGAGGTGTTTGGACAATGCTCTCGGGTACTTGGTGTGACCCCTGGGGATGGTCCTGGGCAGGGCTGGGAGCTGGACTCAGTGATTTTGATGAGTCCCTTTCCCAACTCAGCATATTCTGTGATTCTGTTCTCGAAAGCTCCTGATTTTATCATCGGGGAGATACACAGTTCATGTCCACTTTAGATATTAAGTGTGGCAAATCCTCTCCCTCCTGTCCAGTTAGGATATCTGTTTAGGCATTGTCCCCAGGTCTCAGACCTGACCATGCAGTATTGTGGCTGGAATATTAAAAGCTGGAACAATGTTGTTCAGGCACTCTTTTGTAAAATAATCAGGCATCAACTTCACTACTTTGTGTTTTCCACTTTATTAGATCATACATTTCATGTATGTACAAAGAGATGTGGAGGGCTTTCTGTTTAATTTGGCTGCAACTTAATACAACATCCATTCATATTGCCATCATATAATGTTAAAAGAGGCTGTGAATTTACTGTCTAAATTATTACTAATTCTTTAGCCATTAAGTGTCTTTAACCAGCTTTATAAATCTATGTTTCATAGCAATTTTAATAATTAAAAATAAATAATTTGTTATTAAACTTACCTCAGATAAATGAAGATTTCGATCATAAAATAGTTCAGGTATTCTCAATACCCAAGTGACCTACACCATTAGATTCTTTCCAAAATAGGTGGAGCCTGCACTGCTACAAACGAATTCTTTATGCACATGTGTAACAATTTATTTCCTTAAATATATTGACACTGTTACATTAATACAAATAAGGTGGGAGCAGCTCAGCTGGTAGATCCATTGATTGTCATGTCATCCTGGAGTTATCAGAAATTACTATAATCCACACCCAGAATTATTTACAAACTTTAATCTTACATTGCATTAAAAATCATTATTTAAAATCCATTCCATTCATTTTGGTTTCAAAACACTGACAGCTGATACATCTGAAAATAGTAGTATAAAGTAACAGAAGCCAAATGCTGATTGTACTTGAATTTTTTTTACAGCTTGGGTAAGAGATGAAAATGTTTAATTTACTATAAACCTCAGTGTGCAGTTTTGTGATTTGCTTTTCATTGATAACCATCCAAGCTGCTGGAAAGAAGGGGAAGTGTCTCTGAGGAGGCTGATTTACTGGTGAAGTCTCTTTCCTGGTATCTTTTGGATGAGGTAGGAAGGCATGATGGATGCCACTCGAAAAGTGAGTAGGAATGGCTCTTTATTCCACCTGCTTCAGGAACTGCCTTTAATTTCTCAGCTTGAATGCCTGTGGCTTGAGCTACCTCTCCTGGTCTAACAGCCACCAGCAGGATTTGCTGCCACGTGCTGTGGGCTGTGCTGAGCGTGCAGAACAGCTCTGTAAACTGATACTGAAGGTCTGACAACATACAAGTAGGTACCACGTACTGAGCACTGCTTATCTGCTTTGCTGCCACAGTGATCATAGGTGGTGCTCAAAATTAGTCTAAAAAGCAGCTCAGGATTTGTTCTATCTGCTGAAATCCTGCATTCAGGTCCGAGCCCACAAACACATCATTGATGCTTAAAAATTAATGTAAATCAAGGTTCTGTGTTTTGACAGAACTGGATCATAACTGTAAAAAGAGAAAAATAAAAGACAAACCAAAATCCACAAAACCAAGAGCAACTACTTTGGTCTTTTTACAAAATGACCTCACTGCAGAGATTCCTTTTATCCTCAGTCTTAAATTCCAAAATTACTCAAATTTCTCTTAGCAGAGACTTCAGGAACCTCAGCTAAGGAAATGTAGCCAGCACTTGGCCATTTTAAAGCAGACGCAGTTTTCTGCTTACAATGCAATGTCCTGATGAGCATACAGCTTCTGAAAGAGAAAATATTACAGAAAAAAGACAAAGCATAAGTGTCAGCTTAAAACAATGCCATGCTTTGAGGTAAAACCCCAAAAACTCTTGGTGTCAGCTGTTACAGCTGCAGACTCTGAAGTCCTGCATGATGTCCTTAAATTGAAGATTTTAAGAAGCATCAGAAATTCATTTAAAAGCTGGTGAAAAGTGTCAGTAGATGAATTATAGTTGTCTATTGAAAAACATGGAAACCCCAGTTCAAATCCTTTTAGCAAAGTCCATATATATAAAGCTTCAGCTGCATGGACAAATGCCTCTCAAAGAAACCACCTCCCAGCAAAGTATGCCTTTAATCAAGTCCTTTTTAGGATGTGAAAATGTTAGCCCTGGTTTACTGGATAAGTAATTCTCCCACAACAGTTTGTGCTCCAAAAAAAAAAAAAAATGTGGAGGCTATAGAAAATGAACAGCACTGGGACTCTTTATTGTGAATAACACAAAAAATTTAAAGAGTGTTTTTAAAGAGTTAGTCCAGGTTTACTGTACGAAATTAAACCCTTGCTATTTGCAGACATTAATTTTTGCCTTCAATAGCTTGTAACAGTTTCTTCTAACATAACCAGGTGAATGAATGGACAGATTTTAAATGCTTTATTGCTTACAAGTTTTGAAATAGCATAAATATCTGTTAAAAGAAGAGAAACCCAATTTTTATCATTAAAAGGTTTAGTTATTTTCTCTGGGGGGCTATTTCTTTATTTACTTTCAAAAAATAACTTTGCTCATTATATTTGGTAATCTCTAAAAAATTAATACCTAATATACGTGCAATACTATTTTGGAGCCTTATCATGTTGCACAAGTTTTCATGCTTGTACACTACTTCTTTTTCTGTGCAAATGTTAGGCAACTATATCATCCCATTAACAGTCTGAAATCCTTTGAAGGTTTGATTTCCCTGTTAAAACTTTCAGGAGAGATCACAAGACAGAATAAAGCTTGATATTTATTAATACATATATTTATATATATATATATATATACACATACATATATATATAAAAATATATGTATGTATGTATATATATATATACATTAAAGATTACTTCCTGAATGTAACAAATATAAAAAGTTATCACTGTTTACAAATTGTCAAAAATGTCCAAAGTACAAAAGGATACAGTACATCAGTTATATGGAAGTGATTGTACTCCTGGCACTGAAAGCATCATAATAGTGTGGGCATGCACAATATACACCAGAAAAACTCATGCATCAATCAGAACAAATAAGGAAGTGAGACAATTTGCTGCCTTCTTTGATTACAAATTCATTGCTTCTGTTAGTTTTCTTTCCTCAGGAATACCATTTACCTGCAAAGAGATGAGAATTTATATAATCCATCAGTGGCACATGATGCTTCAACAGTACTGAACTGCCAACTATGAGGACAGCAGATAAATAGCATTTATCATTCCTTTATCAACAACCACGTTGGAGAAACACTGCAAGTACAACCTGGATCAAAAGACAACATATACATGACAAAGAATTCTTCTGGGAAGGGAGAGGGCTGGGAAAAGATTGTTAAACTAAAATTTATCTTTCTAGTTGGAGTCTAACAGGCTTCATAGGGAAGCTGAGGCACAAAACAGAAAAGTACACATGCAGAAAGGTACATGATGTACACGCCATACTTAGTCTTTTATACTATAGGAACACCCTATAAGCTTTTTCATCCAAGCACCTTAAACAGTCCTTGTGGATTCTGCCTATTGACAGAGAGACAATTATAAAACCTAATGTATCTGTTCATCCTGGAGACCAGTAGCAATTTTCATCACTGTAATAAACATTAGATGTGAGTGGTCACATCTCACACAATTCTTTCCCAATTAATGTTTAACTTTGTGAAATAGTCAAGTATTGTGTCAGCTATTAAATCTGCCTTTTTATATAAGGTTAAATTAAAACTATTCCTGACTGGCGATTCAGATAGTTCCTGAAGTGGACAACAGTTACTATCCATGGTCTGCTCTTTACTAAATATGGTCTACTGAAGATTTAAAATAGAAATTTCTTATTCACAACTGTGACTGACAGCATGTTAAATTCCCCGAGTATATTACTGTGAGTTTTCTATAGGAAAAGAACAAAATTTAACTATTAATGTCTCATTCTACAGGTTTTTTGGTCTTAGGTGTTCTATTTCTCTACATTTCTTACTTGAGCAGATCAATAAAATCAATTGCTAAGTTTGTACTCATGCCACTAAAAAACTCTTAGTAGTGGCTGAATTTTGTTTTAAATCATAACTTTCTGAAATTCTAACATTCTGGCAACAGGAGTTATGGACATCCTTTCAGAAAAGCTGCAAAAGGCACATGCCATCATGTAATGGAAGTGCTTGCAGGGTCACCTGCACACCTGAGCTACAAAGCAAGGTGTGATTATAAACCAAGGGAAGAGGAGGAAACGCCCTCTGTCCCAAATCCATTCCACCATCCGCCCCCCCTGGATTTCTGAGAGCTTGTCACAGGCAGCATCTGTGATGAATATGAAAGAACAGTTGTATTCTACAGAAATAATGTACTGCAGAAAATACAGACACAGGAGAACTTCTAAGATCTAATTTTAGGGCAGTTTTTCAGTGCTACTCAAAAGTGACAGACCTAGCTAGCTTGTATTTCATACCTTTGCAAAAATGCCTCACTGCTGGCACTGTACAATATTACCAGGTGATTTTGCATCTTATTTGCTGCAAGACAGACTGGAATTCTTGAAATGAAAGAGTCCTAGCAGAAGAGCAGCACTTGTGTAACACTTTGATTCTGCCTTCTAAACAGTGTGAGTGAGAAGAGCTGTACTAAATGTCACCCCAACCAGTGCTGGAGGCTCTGGATCAAAGGTTTGACTGCCAGAGTCATCCACCATTTCCAGCATATGTACAATGAAGAACACAAATGGCAAAGCTACCAGAACTGCTATCAGACTTTTTATACCTGTGTTTTTAATTTCCACATAACAAAAGCCACATGGAGAGAAACATCCATTATATACTTGCCTCAAATCTTTGAAATGTTGTCATACGAAATTCTCCTTTAATCCCCGAAAGCAGTAATGAAGAAGAAGGATTTTCAATGAAAAGAAAGAGCTGCTTATGTAACTTCTAAGTTAAAACAAATCTGCTCAGAGCTATAGTTCCCATATTATGTACAAAACATATGAATCTCTCTAGAGTTTTGATTTTGCTATCTCTTTGAATATTTAAAAATTCCACTTGGCCTCTACTTTCTCCCTGTGTGGTCTTTACTCCCTCTCCCATGGCTATGGCTGTAGGTTTTTATCAAACCTGAGATGCTAAGTAGAGAGGACAGTCAGCCTCAGTCTGATGGGTCATTCCTGACCTCAGTCAGTACACCAGCATTTGTGGGAATGATACAAAAGTGATGACTACAACACAGGAAACCTGAAGCATGGATGTGCCTCACCACAGACTCCCCAGTATCAACACTTTGTCTAGTAACTGCAGAAAAGAGCTCCTTCTTCACAGCTTAACTAATATTGGTGGGAATTAGAAAATTACATTTACCATCAAGTGTCGAAATCTGAACCATGTAACTGCATTTGGGAATCTGGCTGTAGCTTCATGTAACAGAAAATTATTTATATGAGGTTTCTAAGTTAGCTGAACCAAATTTCAGCTTCTCATGCAAAATCCCAACATAGCATTTCTTCCTTGTTTAATCAATTCCATTCACTGATGTATCAAAAAAATACTAGAATGACAATTCTGTACTACTTTACTCTATTTGAAAATTATTTCCACTGTCCACAGACTGTATACATTTTGACTAGTGTTTTCTCCACACTGGTCACTTAATAATTACAGTATTTTCTGAGTACTGACCTGCACTCTGCTGCTGTGGAATCTGAGTCTGATGTGGCAGGTTCCTATAAAAAACCATTTAATATCTTTAATGCTTCCATACAAAGTCTGAAGTGTATTATGATGAACACTCAGTATTTACACTTCTTTTTTTTTTTTTTTTTGCTTATGAAGCAATAATCTATTTTCACTATGCAAATACAGATGTCCAAAGGTTAGCCACGACCATGAAATAAAGACAATCAGTGCTAAAGTAGTTCTTATTATTTCACTTGTCAGCCATGTTCAAAGGCTCAGACTTGGTGAACTGCCAGAGGCAACAAGAGTCACCATGGGTTTCTGAAGTTCAGCAAAGTTTGGTTTCTGTAAGTGAATATTCCATATGCCATGGATACAGCAAAGGTGACAGCATTTGCAACACAGTTATTGGCTGTGGAATGAATGGTCAGCCACCTCTACGTGTCAGACCAGTTCACTTATCAAGGCAAAGCTGCATTTCTGTGCCCTGCTTAAGTGTCTATTTTAACAGCTATCAGATAGAGGTGTTTTTACAGAAAGGAATTAGGGGGTACAATCTAGGTGAAGCAGATAAATACCCTATGTACAACTCAAGAAAGCTTTTGGTACAGGATTTGGCACCCTAGTTACAAAAACTGCCATTCTGAATAGAGAAGGAGCTGTAAAAGATGGGGCAGAGCACTTTGCAGCACTTGTACAAGGAATAATTTATACAGCTGTCCTTTCTCGAGAATTTAGCTTCTGCGGCAGGGAGAAGAAAACACTCCTGCAGCATGGATCTACATTGTGAAGGGGATTTAGGACAAGCATGTGTAAATTAGGGCTGAGTTAGAGCAGGCACAGGACCAGTGCCACTGGGGCCGTGCAGGCCTGCCAGCAGAGGAGGCACCAGCTGGAGCTGGTGTTACAGCACAGCACTGGAAAATGCCAGCCACTCCTGACCACTGCCTCAGATCTGCTCAGTACCTCCACCCAACCTTTCCAGAAATGCCTCTTTGCTACAGCTCTGGAGTTATCTGATTTAGAACATGTGCAAGCATTGGTCTGCCTCACTAGTTTCACTAAGTTACTGATAAATGAACTCTAAGGAACAGGAATTAATTATTTTTCTGGTTTCTGTCGTGGAAAGTGAGTGACAACAATGGAAACAGGAGAGAGCTAGGAGCATTTTTCTTGGCAAGCCTGAATTATCTGAGTAATGGAGTATGTTCTTCTGTTCAATGTCAATGTTTCAAACACAAACCATGCGTGACAGGTACATGACTAACCACTTACAAAATCTGGATTTTCTGGTATAAAATTACCACAGATTTGGTGGTTACTTTTACACCAGAACCCTGAAGGGTGTCTAAAATAGAACAGTTTTAATTTAATCCTCTGTCAAAAGTAGTTTTTCTCCAAAAACTTTCTCCAAAAAAGGCAGAAATCTATCTGTTCCATGCCAAGCCTCTTGCAATCCTGCAGCCTCTTGCCAGCCATTTAATCTTATAACAGAAGGCCTTTCTTCCTGCTGGAAATGCAAACATCAGAGCAATCTTGAACTGGAGAGTCATTACTGAATCCTCCCACAAAGAACACATTTCGGAGCACAAGCACAGGGACCTGCAGTGAGGTCCTGCAGGGCATTAAGAGCCAGAGCTGAGTGTGCACACTTACTGCTGTGTCTGCATCAGGGGCATGCTGGTGTTGTCGTAGGTGTCGCTGTGCAGGGGCGGGACGATCTCGCCGGTCACCGGGTGGAACACGGGCAGCGTGGACAGCGGCCACGCGATCTCCCTGTTCTTGGACATGTCCCGGAGCTCTTTGGTGGATTTCTGAATAGCACTGTGGTGCACCAGCTGGATGCTGTGTCACAAGGAAATAAAATAGTGAATACATACTTTAAGTGCTTTATCAAAACAGAGAGAAGTTTGCAATTATTATTATTATTAAAGTACAAGGACTTTGATGCATGCTACAGACTACAGTGCAACAATTACACCCTTCACATAGTTAAATTAATAAATATTTATTTAATTTTTAAGGCAGTAATTATTCCATTAGATTTTTCTGTCTGAATAGATATTTTTCATGGGATTCAAGACTGCAGTTTGTGGCTGATGTTCCATTTATTTGCTGCAATTTGGTTTCATTTTAATTTCGGTTAACTCCTGATTCCTGTGGTAGATTCATAAAAGCTTGTAAATTAATTTTAAAACACTCCATATTATACGCACTGGAAACCTTCCAGGCTATTTCTTCTTCTGCTCACTGCCTTTAAGAGACAGGCTGGGAAGCCCAATAACCAGGAGTATTAATTGCATATTAACATATTTATTCTAACAGCACTATTTTATTTTGGATTACAGTCTTTAATTTCAAACCCTTTTTATTGTGGTCTTCTATCCTTGCCAAGACTGATTTAAAAGCAGCTTTCACATTTATGAATTAAACCATGAATTAGAGAGAATGAGAGAAGATTATGACACATATGTATGAAGCATGGCAAGCTACTGAGAATGAAAATTAAATGGTAAAAGAAAAATAACAGGAAAGAAGACACTTACTCTGGTGTTTGCATGTTTCTCTTTTCCCTAAAAACAAAACAAAATTTATGAATTAAATAATAGCATTGATAGTTGGAACATTAATCTATCTGATGATGAAAACAGTACATGATGTAGAAATGCTGACAAGGTTATTGCTAAACGCAACTTGGCAGCATTTGCAACGGGGTTTATGATGAGGCCTTGATGGACGCACGTAGAGAGATGTGACAGTGGTGACAGACACACAGACACACACACAGGGAAATGAAAAATGCAGGTTAAAGAACAAGCTTCTGGCTAAAAGAAATTCTGTGACAAAATGAAGTTGTAGTTTGTGTAAGAAATGGCAGAAATCACGTTACTTGCTGCTTTCCTTTTATGTTTTTCTTTGATAATATGTCTAAATTCAGTTAATCCCCTTAACCAGGTTTATATTATGAATGTTAGCATTTTAGAAATTACTTAATATTCTCCTGAACCAATGATCCTTTATTACTATTTTATTTGCTGGAGACATTTTGGAGAGCTGTGCACTTGTGGAGATTTTGAGGAGTTTTGTGCATATGTTGAGTATTTTAACCCTTTCTAGAACAACTGAAGGCCCTACATCCACTTGCTTGGAAATCAGTGCATGTGCTCAAGTGTCAAATAGGTCAGTATTACAAGCAGATACCTTTGGGCCTGTATTAAATGTTTATAATGAACTGAATGGAGATATTCTAACAAATAACCTTCTATGCATTATAATCTTAGAAAAATCAAGTTACTTATTAGCAGGTTCAAGTACTCACACTCCTTCCCGTCGGCAGCACATGATGTAGGCAAGTATTAGAAACAGCACCAGTGCTATTGCCGAGGGCACTGCCAGGGTAATTAGGAAATCCGAGTAATAGTCTCTGCTTTTCAGTGTATCAGAAGGTGGCTTGTATTCTCCACCATCAGGTAATATTCCCTCTCCACGAACCACTTCCTGAAAGGTGGAAACTTGCTTTGTATTGTCAACCTACCCAGGAAAAAAAAAAACCAAGAAAAAAATACTATTAAATAACACAGCACCATAATGTAAAAACAGGCAGGTATTTAACTAACCATAATCTAAAAAGATCCATATTACTCATTTTACAAATTCTAGACAATTTAATCCAACCACTTTTTTTTAAATAATAGAAGCCTACATTTTATGAAGCTTCTGATCAGTTCGATATGTAATGTTACAATATTACTACTCTCTTTTGTGCCTAGCAGAGATACCATGTCTTTTACAGATTAATTTTAGGCATATCTCACACAAACAGTATTTGAGTGCAGATTTGGCAAACCTCTTTAGTGCAAACTAATTAACTGATTCTGATTTCTTTTTGATTAATTAATCCATTTCTTACTAGTCTTCCTAAATTACAATACTGTCCTCTCTTGTATAATGGTGGCAAAAATTAAGAGTCACATAGCTACAGTGTTCTTTCTCCTCCTTCTCCTTCATATCACACTTTACATCAAGTGCTCAAAAATCAACAGCCATCAACTGAGCTGTTTCAAGGACAGCTCATTGTCTCCCTCACACAAATTCAATTAGCCTCCAAAAGCTGCATTCCTGGTCACAATTTGTGTGTGTGTCTGTACCCAATGATCCCAGAAATACAAACCTGTTTTGCTGCTAAATTTCCTATTGCTTTTGACTGCCACTCCCAGATGACTTAATTTTCTGCATCCATTTCTTTTGTTATCTTCAGTTACATGTTACGGTCAAATTTTATCAGTGCTAGCTTTAAGATCATTAATCTCCAGATCATTAATACAAATAAAATATATTTGCTTACATGCTTGACCTTTTGCCTGACTATTCATTGAGAGATCTTGAAAATGATGGTAACTTCTTTATCATTTACACTTCAAGTCATAAAATGCTGTATTACAGCTTAGGCAATGGATGAAGAGATTTTTATGAAATTCCAGAAATCCTGCTGAGCCTCAAATGTGTGCATACACACACACACACATAAATGTAAGTGCTTGTTTAACAAAAACTGATGTATTCTCTGCTCATTAATTCCAGAGTATCTTCTGTGTTAGGTACACTGAGTTCCACCTGGCTGCTTAGCTGAATCTCAAACCCTAACAATGCACTAAAAATATGTATTTATTGATGTGACTGACAGGAGTCCATACAGTGTGAGAACAAGCTGTCAGAGAGCAGCTTCAAGTGGAGCATTACATTGCCCATCCTTGCAGAATGTGGGACCCCCAAACTTACATCCACTCTTTGACTGGGGGCTGACTGCCAACACCACCTCATCAACAGTGGGAGGGTGATGTTATGATGGCTCTATTTTCTATCACTCCTTTAAACTGTGGATATGGGAAACAGAGCTCAACTCCCTCCCAGCCCATAGATCTGGGGAGAATTCCGGTCTCTCAGCTTGCCTTGTGAAAAGCAGACTGGGATTAGATACAGGGAAGCTTGGCTCCCTTTTCCCTCTGATGCAGCAGGTTCCAGCAGAAATGCTGCTGGCAACAGTAAACACCCCTAAGACAGTTTAAATTCAGTTACTGTGGCACACATCCAGAACAAGTGCTGAATTCCAGAAGGTTGTGTTATAGCTGCTGCAGAAAATAACACTTCTCTGAAAGCCTGTTCCTGTTACACATCCCAGGCTGATCTCTGCTTCTCTCAAACCAGCGTGACAATGCTGCTTCATGATTAGTTTATGAGCCACTGCCACTATCAGGCATTTTTTTCTGAAGAAGTACTCCTAACCAGCTTCTTTTTCTTCTCCATGGGCACAGCTGACTGTTCTTGCATTAGTGCACAATCCCTCTGCTGCTTATTTAAAAATTCATCCTTTTTTCCAAGACTATTTCTCCAATTTCTCAAGACCCTTCTGTCCTTCAATGCACCTGCAGACCCTTTCACTTTCATGGGGAACTACAAATTTAATTAAATGAGCACATTCCATCATCTAGCTATTAATGAGGAATAGGCCAGGAATTACTATTAATTCTGCTATGATTATGGCTACCAACCAGCTCTTCCTAGCTTCACCCAGGCCATGTTCCTGAGCTTGCTTGTGAGACAGTATCAAAAAACCTTACCAAGAAGGAATGACATTTGCTGCTCTGCCTTGGTTCTACTTCTTCCTTGTAGAAGGAAATTGAAGACTGGACATAGTTTGTTCTTGCCAAAGATCAGCTGCCTTCTGCTATTTTTCAGGTGCTGGTAGGTATTACTGTATACACATGGGCCTTTTACATTTTCTCAACAGAAAACCAATAAAAAGCAAATAATCTGGGTATTCTTTTGAAACAGGTATTTGCCAACCTTCTAGAACCTTTCCTAATTTATAGTGTATAAGTAGAAAAGACTGGAAGTTATCCAATCAGTTTTGTGTATGAATACCTTTCATTATACTCAGTAAGTTTTTTTCCATCCAGTGTTTAATATCTCCCTTTCAGTTTCCTCCTGGGTAATGCCTGAAGCAGCTCAGCAACCATCTAAGTTTATTTTATATACATTCACCATCATTGTTCAGATTTACCTGCAACATTATCTTCCAATACTGTATTATTTCTTGATTTTCCTTACAGGAACTAAAAAAAAAACAACCTTAAAAAGCCTCTCTGGGAATTATTCTCCTTTCATGGCAAATAGTCTAGTGTTTGGTTATCTTTTTTCTTGCATTTCACTGAGAAGAATGTTCCTATTTATTGTTTAAGTAGTCAGCATTACTTTTATTCCTTTTTCTATTTAATTTTTAACATAAAATATGTTTTAGACATTTTTTAGGAACAGTTTTTTAACAGAATAGTATTAATTGGTCAGTGTAGAATCAGAATCTGAGAAAACATGTATGTATGCACACACTTTTTAGAGAAGTGCAAGTAGCAGCATTCTGAATTAATGAACTACACCTCTCATTACTTTTACTTTTCTAAGTCCTGGAGTTCTCTGGCCATTTATAGAATTCACTGCTAGTGAAAACAAATACAGTGGTTTCACTGGGGCTCAACTCCAACAGAGTTTAGCCTGCATATCAAAATCCTTCCACAATCTTAAGAGTGTCTGCTAGGTGGAAAAAATATCAGTCACAATGAAGTGGAATTGACAACGTTGTCTGACCAGATTGGCAAAACTCTTACCTGTACTTCTACAAACATCACTGTTATGCAATAATAAAATAACTCACCAGAGAGATTTTACACCAGTCAATATGGAATTGAGTACGAAATTTTTTATCACAGGTTATTACAGGCTCCATTTCTTGACTGCACCTCAGCTGATTCTGTGGATTTTCCACTTCTCGTAAACACGAAGAGAAAGGAACATCTGCCCCAACCATCACATACACACTGCAGAGAGAGATGAGTGACAGACCAGCAGGATGTCTCACACATCCCCAAGTGACAATGATGTACTCTTCCAAATATTATTGCTGTACATAGTACCATTCAGCTGTTACTTAAAGATTGAAACTACTTTCTAAAATAATTTTCCTTCGCTGTATACTTTTATCTCTTTAAGTATACAAGTAACAGACTGAAATCAAAACAACTTTCCCAGCTGCTTATTACAACATATTCTGGTTTGCTTGTTAATGTAAATGTTTCAATACCATCAGCTGTGCCAATTTCTATGAAGTCAAAGAGCTCCAAGTGTGGCTTCCTCATGTAAGTAAATCAGCACTATTTTTGAAAATTGTATTAAAATACATCATTTTGTTTTAAGGAAATCTTTAATCTTACTCATCATAGACTTTTTAGAGAGTTTCTTCCCATACTTTCAAAAGAAACTCACAATGACTAGTTACTGCTAAACCTAATATAGATCTGAACATGCTAACCCCCAGCTGCTTCTGAAACATTCCATACTGTAGGTATGCATGGCCAAGAAAATTTGCTTCAGAACACTGAAAGCTGAGTAAACCTAATACTTAATTTAGCATTACCATACATAAAATAAGAGCTACTGCACTGATTGTATTTTTCATTGTCATATTTAGGTATATGGAACACTGCTGTAAAACACAGTCTGCTGCACCAGGTTATAACATACCAATGGATTCTGAAACAGAAACTAGGTCCCAGTTGCCACTTCTTACAGCAGGCATTATCTAACTAAATATTTGAAGTGTAGCCATTTGTATTAAGTGACTCTGCTATTACTGTGGCTAGTACAGAAGTCACTTTACTTCTTTCAATATGCTCAAAAAATTCAGAAATACAAAGGGCTCTGAAAAAGCCAGTATTTTTCTGCACACATCTTGTATTTTGAACCTTCATCCCCTTCTTAGATACTATTTAACTCCAAAATATCTAAAATTATCTAAAAATAACCAGCATCTTCATTTTCATCAGGGAAAAGCACCTTCAGAACCATATTTGAAAAAACTGAATCCTTACTGTTCAGAACAGTATTTATGGCTACAAATCACAGCTGGAACCAGTCCATTCCAGCAGTTTGCACTCAGTAACCTGAGCTCCCCAGACACATTATGACTTTCAGAAGAAAGTCAACAGCGCTCTTGAATCACTACACATTAAATCACTAACTCACTTAGTGAGAACAGCTAAAAATTACACTGTTACATGCAAACTGCTCTCAGAAATTGAAGTGTCTCTGCTCTATCATAACTTGCTTCAAAATTTTGAGTTTAGTGAATTGGGAAAGGTTAAAAGCTTGAAAAGCATGCCAAGTGACTGCTCAGAAGTAAAACTGGGATTACAAAAAAAACCATATTTACTACCAACTCATTTATAATTAACGGAATTTATTAGTATTCCTTGGATTATAACATCCATATATAGGAACTGTGCCCTGTCATAGTGGTATCTAACACAATAAATTCCTAACTGGGGCTCAGAACATGAGTAAACTTTTCATATCTAATTCTAAAACGTAAAACAGCAGTTGAAAAGTATCTAGGAAACTTGAAAAAATATTGGGCTTCTGAGTAACAAAAGAAAAAAAAGTGAAGCAAAAACATCATACTGACATATGCTTACCCCTCCTTCATGTCATTAATGGGAAGTGGAACTCTCCCTCCCCTGTCAAGGGCTGAAGTAATGTTTATGGCATTCAAGCGTTCTGGCTGCCACACATTTTTCACTGCTCCAAGGAAGTCCCCCAGAACTTCACTTGCCAGCATTTCTTCTACATTCATGTTCCTTATGAAGAATTCCGCTTGATACGGTAAAGGAAAATCTACCCGTGATGAAAAAGAGTGTTGCATTAAACAAAGGCTCCATAAATCCAAAATAAATCTTCAAAATATCTGGAGAAATGATTAATGTAATACTACTTAAGATTGATTCACCTTTCCAAAAATCTTGTGTTTGAATTAGCCAATTTTGAACCTACTGTGCTTACGTTAAATACAACAGACAGTACCATTAGCTGCTACTTGAGCTGAAAACCTTCAGTTATTTATAAAACAACAGGGAAGAAGCAGACTAGAGGAAAAGAGTCTCAGTTGCTAAAACTTCATTAAACAGATATAACTACATTCCTGCTAATTTGGGGGTCAAAACCAATCTGTAGCAACAATGGATTCCAGCTCATGACACTCCAGAATGTAAATGTGACAAAGAGAACTAATTTTACGGTCCAAATGTCCATATATGCCATAAACTGCTGTTTTCTGACTCTGCCTACATAAGTGTTCATTGCATAAGGTACACATAGAACTAAGAAAATTAAACAGAAAAAGAGTGAAATCCTTCATGTAAGGTCTCTTTGAAAAGACAAGGGAAATTGGAATCAGAACTTTAATGAAAAACAAAGATGCAAACATTTTACTGTGAGTGAAAAAACCAGTCCTGAATGACAGAAATAATCTGAATCAAAAAATCAAAATGAATTAAAGCAGGAAAAATTCTCTTACTTCTGCCCTGTGCCTCTATGTTTAGCTTGAATACCAGACAATTATTTTACAATGTTTATCTTCAAAAGCAGGAGCCCATAAGAGGGTTTTGCTGATTCAGTTAAATATACAATCAGCTGTATTCTGTACATACCTTCTGCTGACATTATATTAATGATCAAATTGTGTCTGGCTGTTTCGAAGGTACGCCTGTTATATGCAGTGATCTAGAGTGAAAAAGATTACAAAACAATGCAAAAATGAAAATCATATAAATGAAACATCAGTGAAAGTCAAATTGGTAACTTAGAAATACTTATCAGTTTTTAAGTACTTTGCCTCCTTATTTTGAAACATATGAATATTCATTCACTAATATAAGATTTGAAAGGTAATGTCAATTTATTTAATGCAGTACTACCTTCAAGTCAGGATATTGGAATTTTCTTAGCCAGTCTAGAGCCAAATAAAATTAATGAATATGAATATATATGAATACAAAATAATGTATTTTGGTCCTGACAGAAGTGTTCTGCCATATATGTGTATTCTTTCTCTTCTGATATCTTTAAGAACCACCATAAGGACAGATTGGTTTCTCCATTTCTCCACACAGCCTCCAATCCCCACCTCCATCAATACTGTAAGATCTAAATTCATCAATAGCTCCTAGGAAATAAACTACATGGAGAGGTTTTTTGAAGGAAAAAGTGTGGTGATGCCAGGAATTCTCATCTTTGGGATTGCTATTTAGTTTTAGTTCTGGTCCCAGTGAAGTCTCATTCCATGAATGGATTCAAAATAATGCTCCAGTACAAGTAGTTTTTTAAAAAATCCTGTCCTAGAATCTGTAAATGTAGGGGAAGTGAAAACTAGAAGGTAGATGCAACATTTGTGACTCTAAACTTTTGAAACATACAATTTCATGAATAAAATAAGCAAGGATACCAATCTAAAAGTTAAAATACCTAGGATACCTGAAATGCATGCAAGTGGTTACTTCTCAGTGGTGACTCTACTCCAAGGTTGTACTACGATTAAGTGATCATTCATAAGAAATACAGAACAAGGCTGGCTATCAGTATAATTATGTATTATCTTCTCTATCTTTTTTATCCCTGCAAGGTGATAAATCTTTTATTAAATAAAGGGAAAAAAAATAATTTTCTTTCTAATTTTAGCCTTCAGTTCGCTCACTTCAAGAGCAAAGGAGAGGCAGAGGAGTGACAATAGTGACAGAACTATGTTGCTTCTTAGCAAACAGCCACAAACCACTGTGACACTGGCTAATAAATAAAAAAAGTAACAGATGTTGCACTTCTTTTAAAGTATTTGAATGAAAAGGGAAAATGCTGTGGAGTATCTACTGCAGGTTTGTTTAAGTGGAGAGGGAAAAGCTTACCCAACACAATCAGATCTCATTTAACATTACAATTTCATTATAAAATTAACAGAAAATAAATTTGAGATTTCACTAGCCCTAATTCTGCTAATTTTTCAAAGGGTTTCTCCAACACCAGTTGAACCACTACTACCCAGAAAATCAAACCCCTGGTCATACAAGCCCTGCACAGGAGCAGGGCAGTAGCCACTGTGAGCCTGCACTCCAGCAGAGGGAGCTGCCAGCACGGCCCACACACCACAGGCAGGCGTGGCAGAGATTGCCTTGTCCTGAATATTCATTCAGACACAAACCGTCCTTGCACAGCTTTCAAAGGAGCTTGAGCTCAGAATGTTACCTGCTCTACTGCAGTGCATGCATAATGCTAGGCCCTCCTCATCATGAGGTGTCCTCCAGTTAAGTGAGCTCCCCATGACATCCCCTCAGGAATTATAACATGATGGAAGTTATATTCAGGCCAGGAATATGCAATCAGTCCTCTCAGAGGGCACTAGGAAGAGATCAAATGCCATCTGCCCTCCTCACACACCACAAAATTAATTCAAAAGCCACATCTAAGACTGCACTGCAAGGAAGTAATCTGTATGCTAGACAAGATTTACTTCAAATTTGGCTTGGGGTCATGGTTAGAATGGAGGTCTTGATAAAAATGCTAGAATCTAAAAGCACATGCCATTTAAAAACTGGCAATTTCAAATAATGGTTTCCTCTAAATGAAACTAAGTAAAGCCTGCAAGAACTTCTGCACATGATCAATTCTCAGATGGTATTAGTCCTGCTGAAATCAAAACAGAATCATGGGTACAAAACTAAACAAGTGTGAAACTAGCTGCAGTATAACTCAACACTCAGAGCTATCATTCTTGAGGAAGAAAAACTACATCAAATGCAATTTAGAAAAAAAAGGTACTCATCAATTGTTGAAGACAAATATACTGCTGAAGCAGCAAAATTGCTAGAGCAAGTTATTGTTCAGATTTCTTAACACTGTGACAGTGCTTGACTCAGTCTGCTGTCTATCAAATACATGGTAGAAGATATTGTCCCTTTTCCCTTTTGAATTCCTGCTCAATGAATAATTAGTACTTTAAAACATTTGAATAGCTAACTCTCAAAAATACAGTTTTGTCATTGTTACACTCATATGAATTGAATTCATAAAAGTGCTAAATAAAATAAAATAAAATAAAAATCAATAAATATTAATAATGAACAGGGGGATATTTGATGAATAATAATTGAAAAAACCCCAAAACAATCAAACCAAAAACTCCCATCATGCAAACAAAAACTAAAAAGCAAAAAAACCCCACAACTGCTTATTGACTGAACACTTTCATCTAGTGGGGAAAAGTCAGACCCATATTTAGGTTGAATGTTACAAAGCTATGATTAAATTATTCTTCAAGTACAGTTGCTTATAAAGTGGTTTTTTTGCTCTGTATTTTGAATAAAACTTTAATATGAAATAGCAATTAACACTTAAAAAAAAGGGGGTAACTTGTTGACAGTTCTGAACCTTACACTCTAAACCAAAATATGTATTTTTGAACTTTTGAAAGCAAGTACCTCAATGATGGTTGGCTTGCCCACATTTTCCACAGTTGGTGAGCCATAGAGCACTCCATCACTGTACGGTGTCCTTTGGATGTAGCGCAGCCATCCAGGTCTGTCAGGGTAACCCATTAAATTGGTATTGAATGTTATAGGATCATTACTTATTTCACCTAGATAAGAGAAATTATATTAGAATATTTACAAGAAAATGTTAAATGCTTTGATTTTAATTTTTCAACTAGGATGTCATGTTCTGCTTTCACTTGTTTTCTGAACCTTTCTAAGAAGAAAAAAATAAAAAAAAAATTGCTATCCTTACCATATCAGAAATAAGTGAACTGTTACTTAGCACTTCTAGGTATTAACAAATTCATACCTGGAAAATGTAACCAACTGCAGACATAAATGTGCAGGTGCTTCCTAGAGTTTTGGCTAACTGCATGCTTATGTTCAGTAACTAGTGGGTCTGGTTTTTAGAGCACAGTTCTGCTTCAAATTGAAGCATCTAACCTTCTTACAGGCAAAAGCACAAAAGTTTCAATCCTTTAATTTCCCCTCCCAATTTACTTTTATTGATGTTTTTAATGATGGATCTAGGTACTCAAATTACTGTAAAGACTGGCTCCATAATCAATAATGCCTGAAAGCTTCTGTTAGCATTAGGACACACATACAGGTCTTTGGCACCCACAGCCTGGCAATCATTTTAATTTAGAGAACAAATTAATTCAAAAAAGGATCCATCATTCCTGTGAATTGGAGCCACTGATGGCTACTAAATACAGTGGTCCAGCTGTAAAAGCCCCTCAAGTCAAACCAGTACCTTGGTTCTTACTGATACTCTTATAGAAGTCTGGATTTTACTTCAGCTTGTTTTAGCTTTTGTAAATGAGATCAGGCCTGAACACTACTAAATCCTCACCACCAAGGCAGTGTCCAGCTGAGGCACAGACCTCAAGTCAAATCCATTCTGAGCCTGTACAGACACCTCTGCCCTGCAGTCCAACTCACCTCTGAGAGGGCAATAGCATTACAGGACAGCTGATGAAAGGAGATACCAGCCAGGCTGGCCCAGAAAGCAGAAACTGAGCCCAGTGAAGAATGAACAGCTCTCATCTCCTCCAGAGAGGGGCCAAAGAAACAGAGCTGTGTTGCCCAAGGATCACTAGTCTTTAGGTACACATTTCCACATCTGGTTGAGCAAAATGAGCCAGAACCAGACTAAACCAGTACTTGGTTGTAACACAACTACCCTCACAATTCTCTAAGGACATCCCAGTAATCTAATCTATTGCAATCAGAATCACAGATTCAGAATTACAGAATATTCTGAGTTGGAAGAGACCCACAAGGATCATGGACTCCAACTCTTCAATGAATGGCATGTACAGCTTGAACTCACAACCTGGCATTACTAGCACCCTGCTCTAAACAAATTCCCAGCACCACAAGTGATTTGGGGAAAATTCCAAAAGTCACCTGTGACACATTCTGGTTTCCCCTTCCTTTGTCAAGGCAGGCCATGGCAATGATCCAGCTCAGCAGACAAAAATAAGAGTACCATGACAACACCTGACCTCACAGTGAATTTCTGGCATAATCACAATTGTCTGTGGGAACAGCAATTTCAAAGTATTCAAAACCAGATTCCTATTGCCTTGGAATCACATGAATGTCAAAAGACTGCAGCTGTAAGACAATCCATCATTAGTAAAATTTCCAAGCTCCTTCCACCTATGTGCCAAAACTGAGAGAAAACTGGAACAGAAGAAAACTTCACTCTGCCAGTCACCATGGCATAAATTAAGACCCAGGTATCTGTGTCAGGAAAAACACCCATTTTACAAAAAAATGAAATTTTAAAAACATTTTGATTTACTCATGTTTATTGAAATTTTAACCAATGCTAACAGAAGCTTATTTTTTCTTTAAAGTGAGTCTTAGTAACAGCACTCCCAAATAAATTCAGAAGTTTATTAGTGAAACAGGTTTTGATTATGTGTGCACTGTACATAGGTTATTCCTATTTTTCTGTTATAGGAAAATAGTAATATTTATATAAGCCGGATACCTTTATTCCTTTTCACTGCTGATAGCATGTGTGGCTGAATGTTCTCTCTTCCCACCCCTACCAGACTGCTTACACATATTCTAACTTGTAGTGACCAGTCTCTTAGCTTTAGTGTATGGCAAAACCATACTTAGGAAATCATGGCTTCTTCTCTAAAACCAATCTGCTTATTAACATTAAACTGTTCCTAAATATAGGAAGAAGGCTGAAGTCAAAAGACTATTTTTAAAAATGAAAGAAAACAGTATTATGAAGTCTCATATTTGATTTAATCTTCTATTTTGTCTTATATTTACTATATGCTTTCAAATTGCTCCTTCATATAGCCTGATACACACTATGTCTCAAACAGTAACCAGATAAATAGCATTTTTAACAGACATCAATTTCCACAATTTCATATTTAATGCAAAAGCAATGAAACACTTCTTAATATCAGATATATATAATGGGTTGCCACACCTTCCCAAATTAAGTACATTTTTTCACAATATACAATTATATGCATTTTTTCCCAAACAATCACAAACTAGAATATTTTAGAAGTGTAGGACTACATATTTTACTTCATTTTAAGATATTTCAGTGGAAACTAAAACCTGTCTTGTATATCTTATATGTTGAACCACAAGGTTTGCTAAATAAGACTTCAACATTTTATAACAATATTTTTTCTGTATCTGCATATAATATGGAAGATCTTAGCATCTCATACCAGGCTTTGGGTAAGGAGGAAATTCCCCCTTAAAGTACTCTCTCTCCAAAACATGAACAAACAGAACTCCAGCAGAAGGGTATACATTCCGATCAGAGTGCACCTTAGACAGAATTGTGTACACTGAAAAGCAGAAGGAGAGATAAGAGACAGAAAAAAAGGCAAAAATGAGACATGCTCTAGGTAACTTCATGCATTTCAACAGCAATGCAGGCATCTGGGAGAAGGACAGCAACAAATATTAGGCACCTGTTAATAAGATTTTTTAAAGGTTACATAGATTTAAGAACAGAACATAGAGCAAACCCTCTCTTGGCCCAACAGGATCCTTTCCAAGACTGCAAGAAACAAAACTGCCTATGTCAAGATTTCAAAACTTGTATAAGCTCTTTATTTTTATAGTAATTAAAAAAAATGAGGAAGGCTTTTGTAATTTTATAGTTGGTTTATTTTTAATATTACGTTAATAAAAGTACATTAAACGAATTACATAATCAAGTTTTCCTGATATTTTACATAGAGAAAGCAACAGAGGAACACACGGGAACCTTACCAATCAACAGTCATCATTCCCCACTGAACAGAAATGGCAGATTTTTCACTTCTTGTGCAGAAAAGGACATGGCAAGTCACTTCAACTGATTTCTATGAGTTCTTACAGCTAGACTTTCTCAGACCACCAGGGTAAAATACAACTCAAACTTTTGGTTAGAGAGCTATTTACTGAAGATGTTGGGCTTGTATTGAAGGATAAAATGAGAGGACAAGGGGATTTATAGGCCAGTCAGGTGAAACTGATTCCAAACAAAAAAAGTGAAGCCATGTTTTACAGGACTGAGGATCAAAAACTTTAAGAAAATTCAGAACAATCAGCATATGTAAAAACAATAAAGTGGTTTTTATTTAGTACAAAATTTGCTGACAAGGGCATAGCTTTTTAGGTGTAACACATTTGATGCAGGACTACATACATATTTTAATGAATTAGAAGAACGAAGAAATCATTGCAATAAATTAGATGGATAAGAAGCCACTTTATCAACAAGTTTCAAAATGTAAGTATAAACAGAGAACACTGATTTAATAGGCATTTCTCAAGGTGCCCTAATAAGATTGATTGTAGCTCGTATTACTAATTTTATTACTACTGAATTTTAATTTAATGCCCTGAAAGAATTGATCACTGCTAATAGATTTTGTCAGAGAGATGAAGATTACAAATGTAGTAGATAAAGATGGTAAGCCACAGACAACCACACACAGCTACCAGCCTTGCTTGCCAAGCTGGAAGAAACTTTGTGAGGAATCACATCTCCAAAAGCAAATTATAGGCCATACAGCCTGGAGGTGCTGTCACTGGGAAGACAGACTCCAAAAGACACTTCAGAGACATTGTAACAAACTGAAAGGAACAAACTTGTAGGTCCCAGAGGTGCTAATTTCAACCTTGGATCAATAAGCAGGACACATTTGAAATGTGGATAAAGCCCATGTAATTCTTCAATGCTGGTGTAATTTTTTATTCCTGGTATAACTTCTCCAGCCTTATAATTATACCAACTTTCTTACTTGAGATCTGCTTAAAAAGGCACCATTAATTAGGCATTAATCACAGGCATTCCAGCCCTCGCACCACGTACTCTGAGTGGAATCTCTCTCACCTAATTTTAGATGCCTACAGAACAACATCCACCACTAAGTTAGTGAGGCTCCTTTTATAGTCAGTGGAGAAGAAACAGATGCTTCTAGGGGTTGATTTATTTGATTTCTCCTGTAAAGTGAGATGAATCATGTCCTAGATTCCAGGCTATACTGACTAGTCCTCCATGGACTGCAGAGGCATCTGAGAGGAGATGCAGACATCTGTAATGCAGACCTCCACATTTACATACTCCCCACTCTTCAAGCTTAATGCTGCAGAATGGATAACTCTGGATATACTACTGAGCACATTCCACAGCATCTGCTTTTCTGAAAACCACTTTTAACACAATACTGAACAGAGCACCTTTCTAATCATTTTATCTTAGTGAAAAAATTAAAATAATCCTGAAATTTGAATTGTTACAATTCTGTGTGGTTAATAAAAGTGTCATTTTCATCATGTAGACTTACATACAGTAAGATCATTGATTTACCTACTTAAAATTAGTAAATTATTATCCAAAAAACCTCTGCACTCAATTCTGTGAATGAGCCATAAACAGCACAAGGAAGTTAACTAATTTCCTTTAAAATATTTTCAAGAAAATCTGAAAAAGTAACATTAATAGAACAAAGAGCTGACAAAAATATGGTGGCTGGCTGAAGGTGCATCAAATACCTAGAAAAGATCATTTTTCCATTTCTGATGCTTTTCCTCTACAATGAAAATCCATTTCAAACAGGAAGAACAGTGAAAAAGAAATGTGCATTTTTTCTCAGTAAGCAATTCTTTCAGGAAAAAACAAGCATAACAGAATCAGCAGTTAGTGAAAAAAAACATATAACACTTATTTTGCCTGCTATAGGAAACCTATTACCACCACTAAATGCCTGCCCATTCCTAGCAATGAGACATTCCCTGCTGCTGAAATAAGTATGTCAGTAAGGATTTGATGCAGCTATAAAACACTGATCTTGGTGGAAGTCTAGAAATATCTCCCAGAAGAAAAAATCTCAGAAACCTGTTCTATCTTGTAATGACAAACACAACATAATGACACAAGTATGGTGATTAAAAACAGAAGTTCTTGCCCTCCTTGTGAGAGACGCCCTCCATGTTTCCCCCCCCCCCAAGAAGTTTCTTTAAAACCAGAAGGAAAATGATGAGTCTTCAGTCTACTACAGCTATCACTAGCTTTTCAATAATGAAACAAGTGAAATGCTACTTTCTTCATGAGCTTTTAAAACCCATGATTATTTTCAGGAGACAGACTAGAGATGAACGTGTAATCATCATCTTGGGTGATCCAGGGACGAAACTGAATACACTTAACAAATAGATACTAATCTAATGCAGCAGACTGACAGCTGTGAATTGTCTGGGCAAATTCCCTGTGGTAGATAAAAGTCTCAGGGACTGTGAAAAGCTTCAGTAAAACTAATCATGGGAAATTAAAAATCTTCATCAGGATCACATCAGATCCCTGCTAGAATTGGCTACCTTGACAGCACTGCTTTCTTCTTTCTTGCTTCCAGATCACTTGGAGGACTTTCTGTAGATCCCAAGATCTCCTTAGACATCTTGAACACAGGCACAGCCAGGAATCCAGACAGGATTTTATCAGCCTGCAGCCCAGGGCCTGTTACCAGAAGCAGAAAACCCCTAACTCCAGAAATTTCAGCAGTTTCACCATGTTGGCTGCAGCCTGTATGTTGATGATCCCCAGGAAAGAATTCACCTGAAAGTTTTTTCGTTCTTTTTTCCTAGAAATTTCAATTGGTTCTCTCCCCACTGATATTTAGCAGATGAAGAACAATTCCAGAAATAACTTGGAGGCCAATCCAGATTGCCTGCCAAGATGTGCAATCAGTGCAAAGCTTCTTCTCAGCCAGTGTGCACTAGCTACAGTATTTGATGTGTATTTGCATAATGAGAGTAAAATAGTCTTTTTACATTCATGTGTGAGAAGACTTTTTTTAATTGTTACAGAAAAGTTACTGTATTAAGCAAACTGCAGAGGTGTCTTCAAGCAACCAGCCATGATAAGAAAATGTGCAGTATTAGGTATAAACACAGCCATTATTTCAAGCAAAGCTACAGGAACACGAAAAGTCAGGGGAGACTAACAAGAACACACAGGTCTGTGAATATTTGAAGACTGAAGAAATGTAAAGTTTTCCAAATTACTTACCTTAAAATAGCACCCTACTCCTAAAACAAGGACATGACTGGAAAAGCAAGAGTAACATTAAAAGCAGGTTTGCTTGAACCAACAGGGTATTTAACCTAAACTCACCATTCTTCTGAACAGCCTTTATTCTGCTGATAACATAACTGTGGGCTCGCTTAGTCGTCCAGTTAACAGTTCCATTACTGCCATCAGCAGAGCTTAGCAAAATAGCTTTTCACAATAAAACAAATGCAAAAGAAAAATTAGTCAGATCAACAGACTGCCACAAACAATCTGATCAGATGGGATCAGACACCTACATCATGTTTTGGTTTTGGTCAAAGTTTAGGAACCACAGGTCAAAAAAACCAGAGGTGTTTGCTTTGAGTATATAAATATACAATAATATTTCTGACCATAATCTTTTTGACACCATTTTTCCAAATAAGCTAAGTCTACACTAAATACTTAAATCTCTGCAGACACTTCTGCTGACATAATTGTACAGATAACAAAGATGAAGAAGAGCATTGTCTAATAAATCTATTTGCACAGACAAAACCTCACATACAGACAAAAATATATAGCTTTCACTGGAGTGGTATATTTTGGTCAAAGTAGGAAAATTAAAGTAAGCAAGCTTTGCTTTTATAATGATGCTTATATAAAGACACATGGGGCTGATTGCCTTGCAGGCATAACCAATAATCAATTTTGAAAAGAGAACCATTAAAAATGGCTGCCTACATCCCACACAACTAGAACACAGCCTGAAATCAGCTGGATCCATGCAGCTGAAGGTGCAAGTTTTAAATGCAGTGAGGAGCAAATGATTACTGGAGACAGAAAGCAGCTGTGGAGCTGACAGAAAGATTCCATCTCACCAGCAGCAGAGGTGCCTGAGAAAGCTCCCTCCTCACTTCCCACTTTTTGTTCCTGCTCTTCTGGGATGAATAATAGGTATGCCAGCTGTACAGTCACATGCCAGCTGAAAGTGCAGAGGGAAGGAACTGCAGTCAGATGCTAGGAAAGGGAAAGTGGCCATAATGAGTAGGTATTTTTGTTTTGAAATAGTTTGGGAGTAAGAACTCATGTCAAACCCTGGATCAAAGATGGTTTTGGTCTAGCATCTTAATATCCCTGTAAAAAAAGCAATACCAGAAACATCAAGGAGCAGTACCTGTGTACAGGTACACCAGTCTGCAGAGGAAATGAACACTTGTTGGAAAACGTGCACAGTATATAAAAGAAGCCTAAACATCTGTGGATACTTCTGACCTGCTACACCAGGCAACTATTAAATTAGTG